GGTTTAGGGTTTACCTATAATTGCTATTTTGGGGGTTCCTTGTTGTAATTATTGGTAGAATGGGCCCCAAAGCCCTGCTCTAATTATGTTGGCCACCAAGGCACGCCGGAAAAGGTCCACTTTCCTTTCCAAAGACTTGGGAGACTGCGACACTGCCTCGGAAATGGCTTGAACGCTGCAGGAAAGGGTTCAGGGTTTAGGTTTTAGGAAACATCGCAGCTCAAAATTGCCTTGGGACTGCTTTGAGTTTCACTTCAAGTCCAAGCGGCATGTAGGAAGAGCCTCATGCGGTGATTGTGGAAGTCATGCGTAAGTCGATTGGGTGGAAGCTCGGGACTGTCGTCCCCAGGACTACCTTAGTAGCTCAGCCCGTAAGCCAAACGCACACAAAGTGTCGGGCGTTTTCAGCGAAAAATACAATTCTGCACGCTCAAACTTGACACACTCGCAACTGTGCTGCTATGTGATAAGAAGGAGTTGAAGGACTTTCTGCCTGCTTCCACAAGCTCCGCAGAGTTGACATCCGAAATTTCATCCAGCGCCGCACACGAGTCTGTCGTTGAGCGGGTGTAAGTTCGCAATGTAAACTTCGACTTCTTCTCTTCTTCGATCTTGACTGCGTCGCTGGGTTCCCATTCCTTTGGTGGTTCTTGGGCGCCACTTAACAAGTAAAGTTGTGTACATTCTTAGGACGAACCTATACGAAAACTGAAAGATTGGGTATAAGAACGGCCCGGTTCGCGAAACCCGTCACCCTAAACCGTTGAGTAGTTTGGGATTTAACATGTCAGCCCCTAACCCTAAACCCCCAACCCCCACACCCAGCCCTACCCTCTAACCCCTACACCCTAAACCCCGAAAGGCCATGCACCTTAGGCCATAAACCCCTGAACCCCAAACCCAAGACTATGGGCCGTAAGCCCACCCTAACTAAACCCTAAACCCGAGATCATGGGCCCTAAGCCCTAAACCCCTCCTCCTCCTCCTCCTCATCCCCTCCTCCTCCTCCTGATCCTCCTCCTGATCCTCCTCCTCCTCCTCCCTAACCCCTGAACCCTACAGCCTGCCCTAGCCCCTAAACGTGAACCCAAAGCACCTAAACCCTAAACCTGAAACCCTAAACCTAAGATCCTTCAAGAAAACAATACGAAGGTCCCTTATAGAGCCCTTATAGTAGAAGCCACAAAGTTGGAACATGGCTTTAGGAGGATTAGTGCTAGGATCCCTTATACTTTACCTCAACCGCATGAGGATAATGATGTTCCAACTTTCTGGCTTCTCCTACAGAGCCCTTATACCCTTAAAGGATCCCTCTTTGAGAGGAGCCCCAAACCCAAGATTCTGGGCCTAGGTTCCGGGTTGCAGAGCTCCTCTGCTTGGATCTCTAGGGGCTGTTGGCTCGACACATTGTGCAGCATGTCCATGCCAATGCACCTTGGGCTTAGGGTTCCTTTTAAAGGGATCCTAGAAGGGATCCTTTAAAGGGATCCTATGAAGGATTTAGGGGGTTTAGGGTTCAGGTACAGGGTTCTGAGTTTAGGGTGTAGGGTTTAGCGTTCATGCAGCATGTCCATGCCAATGCACCTTGGGTTCAGATTTCCTTTCAAAGGGATCCTATAATATAAGGGGTTGAGGGGCTGTAGAGTTTAGGCGTTCAGGGGTTATGGTTTAGGGTTTAGGGTTCGTGCAGCATGTCCATACCAATGCACCTTGGGTCTAGGGTTCCGTTTAAAGGGATCCTATAGGGTTCTGGATTCCATTTAAAGGGATCCTATAAGGGCTCCCTTAAAGGGATCCTATGAAGGTCTTAGGTGGTTTAGGATTTAGGCATTTAGGGGTTATGGTTTAGGGTTTAGGGTTAGGGTACAGCATATCCATACCAATGCACCTTGGGCTTAGGGTTTCATTAAAGGGATCCTAGAAGGGATCCTTTGAAGCCTTGCAGGGTTTAGGGGGTTTAGGGTTTAGGTATGGGGTTCAGGGTTCAGGGTGTTCATGCAGCATGTCCATACCAATGCAACTTGGGCTTTTAAATTGCAATGGCTCTCTCTCCGAATGACAGTTTAGGGTTTAGGGTTTAGGTGTGTCCGCCACTGATGGGCATGCACCTTGTCTACATCTTCTGCAAACATCCGAGAAAAGCTGACAGAAAGATAGCACTGTGTCTATGCTTCGGTTTAGGGTTTAGAGCTTAGGGGTTTTTACTTACTTCGAGGTTCATGGATAGTTAAGGTGGGGTTATCAGCATGGTTCCTTTCAGGGTTCAGTCAGGTTTAAGGCTTTAAGGGTATAGGGTTTACGGTTTGGGGGTCTGGGCCTTGGGTAAGCACCCCAAAATGGATTATAACGATAGCTATCCTACTGATAGCTTCACTTATTCCAGTGCATCTTACTCAGGGTTTGAAGTTCAGGGCTTTGGGTTTGAATTATTGAAGGATATCCATAACAATGCACCTTACCTACTTGAAGGTTCATGGGTAGTTTTATAAGTGGGGTTATCAGTAGATTGCCTTTCAAGGTTCTGTGGGATTTAGGGTTTCAGGGTTTAGGGTAGTTACAAGTGGGTAAGTCCCCTGATACGGATTACAATTACAACTATCGATATCCTACTTATGGCCTCACTTATACCAAGGGTTTAGGGCTTTTGGAGTTTGGGGCTTGGGGCTTTAAGGGTTTATGGCTTTTGGGGCTCCGTGTTTAGGGCTTTAGGGGTTTGGGGTCAGGGTACAGCATGTCGACAGCCCTGCACCTTACTTCTTCAGTTCGCCAAAACGGTACGGTACCACACAGGCTAACATTTTGGGATGATCAGAATACCAAAGAAACGGCTCAAGGCTACCTATTCGACTACTCAAGGTCAGGGTGCGAATGCACCTTGTCTACTTTTTCAGCATGATCAGAACTACACGCAAAGCTTTTGAGGCCATACAAGGAATGGGCAAGGAGCATACTACCAAAGAAAGGCTACAGGCTCAAAAGTTGAACTTTTAGCCTCCTTATTATGATTCATATAGAAGCCCAAAACGTTAAAGTCCTAAGAGCCAACCAGAAGAACGCCAAGAATACACCCTCATCCCAAAAGACTGCTCAAAACCGTAAACCCGAAGCTCTGTACCCTACGTAAACCCTAAACCCTAAACCCTAAACCCTAAACCCTAAACCCTAAACCCTAAACCCTAAACCCAAACCCTAAACCCTAAACCCTACACCTTGAACACCCCAAAAGACTGCTGAGGTGCTCTGGCTTGCTGGGTTCTGGGAGGTTCGCAAGCGCAGTGAAGAAGTCAGCCGGTGTCAGCATGCCTTCCCTCATCTTCACACCCAGACCTTCCAAAATCCCTTTAAGGAATATACCTTAAACTATAGTACGATCCTCAATATGATTTGTTTAAACTATAGCAGGATCCCCAATATGATGTAAGTTATATATCTTATTTAAGGGATGTCGGAAGTTCTTCACTCACCACGTCGGAGCCAAACGCGGCTGCAGAGTTAGGGTTTGCAGGTTTGGGGGTTTAGGGGGTTCGTCCTTAATGGGTTTAGGGTTTATGGCTCAGGGTGTAGGGTTTGTTTGAGGATTTAGGGTTTGAGGTTTAGGGGGTTTAGGGGGTTAGTCCTCAAGGGGTTTAGGGTTTAAGGCTCAGGGTCCGGGGTTTAGGATTTAGCGTTTGGAGGTTTAGGGGTTTACGGGCTTCGGGGGCTAGTGCTTAAGGCTTAAGGGGCTTACGGTTTATGACTCAGGGTCTCTTTCTCAAGTGCTTCAAGCGGATGGGTATACAATTGTGAGACACGGCTTGGGAGTCTGGGTGTGTCAGTTTGCAGCTGCTCCACGGAGACATAGGGTTTAGGGTCTAGGGCGTAGGAACTCTGCAACCTTAGTGCCTCTCAACTCAAGCTGCAAGCCCTAAACCCTAAACCCTAAAGGTTTGGGGTTTAGGGTTGTGGAAACCAACCCTCCGAAAAGCTGCAGAGCCGACTCGGCTAGACCTGAATATGGGTACTGCCCCCATACAGTAACAGTCTTTAATTGGGCTACTAATACTTAGGGTCCTCATATACCTATATTATGAATGTTATTCAACTATTACTGAGTGGGGGCAGTATCCAACCTGAATACTCCAACGGCAGCATCAACAACGTGAGGAGGAAGACATGAAAGGAGAGCAGCAGCAGCAGCAGCAACAACAACAACAGCAACAGCATGCCAGTAGCAGTAGCAATAGCAGTAGCAGCAGCAGTAGCCGTAGCCGTAGCCGTAGCGGTAGCGGTAGCGGCAAAGGCAGTGGCAGTGGTAGTGGCAGTGGCAGTGGTAGTGGTAGTGGCAGTGGTAGTAGCAGCAGCAGCGGTAGAAGTAGAAGTAGCAGTAGCAGTAGCCGTAGCCGTAGTGGTAGCGGTAGCGGTAGCGGTAGCGGAAGTGGCAGTGGTAGTGTGGTAGTGGTAGTGGTGGTAGTAACGTAGTAGTAGTAGTAGTAGTAGTAGTAGTAGTAGTAGTAGTAGTAGTAGTAGTAGTAGTAGTAGCAGTAGTAGCAGTAGTAGTAGTAGTAGTAGCAGCAGCAGCAGGAGTAGTAGTAGTAGTAGTAGTAGTAGTAGTAGTAGTAGTAGTAGTAGTAGTAGTAGTAGTAGTAGTAGTAGTAGTCAGTAGTAGTAGTAGTAGTAGTAAGTAGTAGTAGTAGTAGTAGTAGTAGTAGTAGTAGTAGTAGTAGTAGTAGTAGTAGTAGTAGTAGTAGTAGTAGTCAGTAGTAGTAGTAGTAGTAGTAGTAGTAGTAGTAGTAGTAGTAGTAGTAGTAGTAGTAGTAGTAGTAGTAGTAGTAGTAGTAGTGGTAGTAGTAGTAGTAGTAGTAGTACCCATGCGCGCCTCCTGGCGCCTGGTGTTTTGCTCAGTTTTCAAGTGTTACGGGGAGGTTTTGGGTTGGGGGGGGCTGCACTTACAGGCCCTCTAAACCCTGTGGACCCAAAACCCTACACACTCTGTAGACTCTGACAAAACACCCAAAACCCACCTGGTGGAAATCCATCTGGCGGAAGAGCTCCTCCTGATGCCGCAGCGAGACCAACTTTTCCCCCTCCTCACCTGAAGCGCTTGGTCATCTGACTTTCGGATCCCTAAACCCCTAACCCCAATACCCTAAACCCCGAAACCCTAAAACCGTCTTCGGTGCTCGTGGCGTCCTTAAGGTGCAAAGATCCACTCTGCAGGTAAAATTTCGGCATTATTTTGGGGCCTGGGGCTGCAGGGTTTATGGTTTAGGATGCGGGGCCTCGGGCTGCAGGGTTTAAGGTCAGGGTTTAGGGCCTAAGGGTTGAGGGTCTGGGTTCAGGGTTTAGGGTCTAGGGTTCAGCGTTTAGGGTTGAGGTTTTACGGTTTAGGATCTATTTAAGCTTATGCGTACCCTACCTAAGGTGGCATGCTCTTCAGTATGCTGCCACACAGGTTGTCGGCTAATTATATGCTCTAGCCCAGTGATCAGAAACGAACTCGGAAACATTTTGGGAGTCATCCGCATCCGTGCTGTCTGGCGGATCTCCAGTGGCAGACACATTCCGCTAAAGCCTTCCAATAAGCGAACGACAATCGGCTGAAACACCACACACTCATAGACCTGTACTCCCATATAAGTAGGACATCTACGCAGGCTGCAGCCAGTAGCATGCAACAGGCTGCTGGATGCCCGAAACGGCAAGAAAATTGCATCCATCAGAATCATCTTCCAATTTCTTGCTGCTGGGTTGATGGATCAGAGTCCATCAATGCAGCCCACTGCCGTGCATCAGCCATCGGCAAAGTATCTTCCCGCGGCTCGTCACAAAGCGGATACAAATCCGGAACTGGTGCCGCCGACGACAAGCTCTCCGTGCTTGAGTGGCTCAGCTATCAGACGGCCAATGGCCCACAATAGGCACAGACACAGAGACACAGGCCAGCCAGCAGCATCACAGCGCACGAGACCACACCCCATTCACGGCTTTTCTCTAGCAGCATATTACTTACACTTCCAAGCACGTTGAATAAAATTCCTTGGTGACATTCCAGTAGACCTCGCAAAGATTATTGCTGTCAAAACGCAACTCGAAACCAATACAACGATTTAGGTCTGTCGGGATTCTATCAGCCTCCCGCGTGCCCCTGGAAACTCAACGCGCTACCCTAGGCCCTAAACCTTCAACCCGAAACCCTAAACCCGAAACCCTCCAGCCTAAACCCTAAACCTTCAACCCGAAACCCTAAAATCAACAGGTCTAGTGGTTCGGCTGTTCAGGTCACTGCCTTAGGCTTGGGGTTTTCGCTTTACTGTAAGGGTTCAAGGTTAAGGGCAAAAGGGGATGTTCAAGGTTTAGGGTGTACGGGCTCGTTGGGGCATCCATTCAGGGCCTTTTTCGACTGTCTGAGCGTACACTTAGACGGAGATAGCGAGATAGAATAAGAGAGAGATGTATATACAGATATATATTTATATATATATATGTAAGTATATGTATATGTGTTATCATGTGTTTGTTTCCTTTACCTGTTTGCGTTTATTCATAGTATCAAGAGTTTTGATTGCAAAGTTTGAACCGTTTTTGGCCTTACATGCCAGGTCTGCAATAAGCAGCTCGAACTTTAGCAGGGCTTGTTCGTTGCTGAGAGAAGCGGTCTTTACCCATACTTCGGTAAAGGACATAGGCCGGGGTCATGGTGTTAATGCCCTGAACCCTAAACCGTAATACCCTAAACCCTAATACCCTAAACCCTAAACCGTAATACCCTAAACCCTCAACCCTAAACCCCAATACCCCAAACCTTCAACCCTAAAGCGCAATACCCTAAACCCTCAACCCTAAACCGTAGTACCCTAAACCCTAAACCCTAAACCGTAATACCCTAAACCCTCAACCCCATCCTGGATCCCCAAAACACAACAACCCCAGAACCCAGATGAACCCCCACCAGAACCAGACATCCGCCAAAATTAGCCGGTTTAGAGTTTAGGGTTTAGGGTTTAGGTTTTAGGGTTTAGGGTTTATCATGCCTGTGACACCGAGCAGGAACCAGTAGAAAGCCTTGCAAGGCTACACATGCTCAATAGAAAAGCAAAAAAACGGTCAAAGCCTAAACCCTCAATCCTACAGTACCCTTGTAGCGCCGCAAGCCCTAAATCCCCATCGTGCATTTTGTGACCCTTATGGAAACGCTTGAAAGGCATCTAATGTAAGAACCTGATTCAGAAACCCTGAGCCTACAAAGCAAAAACAGTAGGATTCATATAAAGAGCCCTCATAGAGGCCCAAGGTTTCTTAATAAGGTTCCTACACTTGGCCCTGAACGTTGCTTCTCGATCTCTTCCAGTCGTTTCATTTCCTCCTCGATCTGGCCGCGCCTTGGCAGTTTAGGGTTTAGGGCTTTATGTTTAGGATTTAGGGTTTAGGGAATGTAAGGACTTAGGGCCTTAAGGTGTCAGTATTTGGGAGTTTCCGAAAACTAGGGGTACCTTATTTTGGCGGTCCTTATAATAAGGATCCTACAAATTAAGGTACCAAAGGAGGGTCCCCTATTTTCGGAAACCCCCCTTTAATTTAGGGGTTATGGTTGAATAAGGCTTCAGGGATGTGTCAAGCTTTGGGATTCAGGACGCTATTCGTTCTAGGGTTTACTTAAAGGGTCATGGGACTCAGTAACTAGGGTTATAATTAGGGTAACTATACTTATAACCCCAATAAGGGTACTTATACCCTTCTTACTACGGTTGATGATATAAATCCTGCATTACCTTAAGGGCCCGAAACTATGGGAATTACGGTATATTCCTTATTATGGGTCATGCAGGATTTATATCATCAACAGTAAGTCCCTTGATCCTCCAGGTAGGGTTTAGGATCCTCGAGGTTCCGGCCTTTTGGTCTTTACTGTTCTGCAAGAGGTTCAGGGTGCTATCTACATCCGAAAACCCTCAACACCAAACCAGAAACCCTACAGCCCAGACCCCAACCCCGGGACCCTAAAACTAAAGGTGGTTGGGGAAGAGCCAGGTGCTGACGGCTTGACCCTTCGGGAGAAGAAGTCTCCTAAACCCTAAACCCTAAACCTCAACACAGGTTTTTGAGGACAGCCTGCAGCAGTCGGCCTCGCAGGAGATCAAGATGTCGTCGTAGAAGAACGGGGTAGGGGTTTAGGGTTCTTGGGGGTATATATAGAGTTCATTGTACAGGGTATACTTGGAGGGTCGGCGGACTTAGTAACTAGCTATTTTACAGGCTTAAAATTACCATAACTCTAATCAGGATCCCTTTTAGGGTACCTAGTTCTAGATGTCTACTTCTACCTGCTTACCAAGTTTTCGAAGTTTTCGCAACACACCCAGAGGCGAGAGGTCTCTTCCAGTCGTGTCCTGAACTTGGTTGATCAGAGCGCCAGTCAATGGGATGTAATTTAGGGCCTCAATAATTTCCCATACTTTTTTTTTGTTTTTTTTTTTGGGGGGGGGTGTGTTCTTTATGATAATGATAGTATAACCATGTACCCCCAAACCCTGTTAGAATTGTTATACGGCTCCTACATCCCGAAATCCCTTGTAGAGCCCTTATCGAACCCTTAAGGGACCCTTTAAAGGAACCCTATTCTCACTATTAAGGCCCCTATGTTAACCCTTACTTGGAGGGTCGGGGGACTTAGTAACTAGTTATTTTGGAGACTTATAACCCAATTAGGGTCCCTTTTAAGGTACTTATAAGTCTACTTACTACCTACTTACTAAGTCCCCCGACCCTCCAAGTATGTTAACCCTTACAGTACCCTGACAGTATCCCCTTGAAGGGGTCCTCTAAAGAAACCCTATTCAAACTGTTAAACCTCCTACATTAGCAGTCCAAATCGGGGTCCACCGTCGGACTGATGCCCAGGGGCAGGCTGCCCACCTCGAACCTAGGTTTAGGGTTTAAGGACTAGAGATTTGAGGTTTAGGGTTTAAGGACTAGAGATTTGAGGTTTAGGGTTTAAGGACTAGAGATTTAAGGTTTAGGGTTTAAGGACTAGAGATTTAAGGTTTAGGGTATAAGGACTAGAGATTTAAGGTTTAGGGTATAAGGACTAGAGATTTAAGGTTTAGGGTATAGGGTCAATAAGCCGACTTGGAAACACGGTCCCATGCCAAGGTGCTTCGCAGCGTCCATCGTCGGCGTGATGCGACTTCACTGTGTAGTGAGAACTGCTGATGTCACGCGTGCACCATGCACGTTCCGCAGCATGCTTGCCCCGCACCGACGATGTAACCCTAAACTCTAGTCCCTAAACTTACCCTAAACCCTAATCCCTAAACCCTAAAGACCCAGATCCCTAAACCCTAATGATCGGGCTTCAGCCCGTCATCTCAAGAGATGAGCGAAGCAGCTTCCAAAGTCGCTCAAATAAGCAGCATGCCTAAAATCATATTGCGGTTTCCGGTTTAGGAGTTAGGATTTGGGGGACCCTCTGGAGATAAAGACCCTCTGAATAAGATCGCTTTTCAGAAAGCCAGAAGGGTTAAGAAGGGTCCCTTTAAGGGGTCTCCTAATACTACCTAGGAAAGTACGGCTCCTACAATAATTTAAGGTATACTCCTTAACTAAGGGAGTCTAGAGAGTTTAGTGGAGATGCAGCTGCCAGACACTTTGTATGCAGCGCCGCACCACTGGAAAAGGATATGAAAGCTTAGGGTTTAGCGTCTAGGCCGGCTGCGTGGTCAATGGTGCATCAAGATAGGCGACTGCGGCCCAAACAACCCTAAAGCCCAAAAAGGAACCCGAAACCCTAAACCCTAAAGCCGAAAAGGCCTGACCCTAACCCTAAAGCCTAAACCCTAAACCCTAAAGCCTAAAAGGTACCCGGGGAGCCCTGCTCCTTCGCAATGTCAGTCTTGACCTGCTCCCGAAGCTGATGCTTCAGCCTGAATGTAGGGTTGGGGTGGGGTGTAGGGCTTAGGGTTTAGTGTTGCGGGTTTCAGGATTTAGGGCTTAGGGTTTAGCCCTGGTTTAGGGCTTTAGGGTTTCAGGTTCACGCGTCTGGGTTTCAGGGATTTAAGGGCTTCGGGGTTTAGGGTTTAGAGTTCTACAATTGTTTAGGATTCACGGTCAGTGATACAAGGGCCTCAATGACTAGAATACCGCTCTTTGGTATATTATACTATGTTTCTATCTTGAAGGAACAGCATCGCTAAGTATAGCAGTTTTATGGAGTGTTGGTTGGGGGACTGGGTGAGCAGTTATTCTGTCGAGTCATAAGTACGGTTGATGATATAAATCCTGCATTACCCATAATAAGGAATGCACCATAATTCCCGTAGTTTTGGGTCTTTAAGGTAATGCAGGGTTTAGATCATCAACAGTATAGCCCCAAAGCTGATCAATGTTTAAGGCACCCCGACACTCAGCCGCTTGAAAGCCCTCCAAGCGGCTACACGGTCCCTGCAACATCTTCTTAGACACTGCAAGATCCACCAAATCAGAGTCAGACCCGGAAGACCCCTCCGACATCCTGGCAAGACTTTTATCAAGGGTTTTTCCCAACTGGGATACTCATTTCTGCTGTGGTGTACTACTGTATTTTATTGCATGATCACAGCAAGGAACCCGAAAGAACAGAAGTAGGAATTCTTTAAGCCTCAAAACACCAAACCCATTACCTCCAGAACTTCCACGTAAACACCAACCAAACCCTAATCCCTAAACCCTGAACCCTAAACCCTAAACCCTAATCCCTAAACCCTAAACCCTAATCCCTAAACCCTGAACCCTAATCCCTAAACCCTAAACCCTAAACCCTAAGCCTCCGATCCTTACAATACGAGATCCTACCGGCCCCCTGGGTGCTCGGCTTCACTTGCTCGGCGCGGTCGTGATAGACCTCCTCCATCAAGGAGCGACCTCGGGATACCCAGAAACTCCACAATCCCTTAAATAAGAAATATACCTTAAATCATAATAGGGATCCTTATATGATTTAAGGCATATTCAATATTCCGAAAATACTGTAAGGGAATTTGGAGTTTCTGGGTATGGTGGGCTCTGGGAGAGGAGTAGGGTGACTTGCGGTTTAGGGTGTCGGGTTTGAGCGCCCTAAACCCTTAACCGAGGGGATATGACCAGGGTCATCATGCTCTACATTAGGATCCCCGACGTTTCCGCAACTCCTATTAAAGGCTATGAGCCTACACAAAGCCCATGCGAAGGCTTGTTGGAGGAGACTGCGGTGACGGGTGGATTGAACTAAACCTGCACCCGAAAAAAATGATACCATGAACAACCCTACTGCCCGAACCACAAAATCAAAAAAAAATCTGAAACAACCAAAACCCTCAGCCATACTTCCCTAAAGCCGTATGCCCTAAACTAGGCCCCTACCTCGAACCGAGCCCGAACCCCCCACCCCCGTAAATTCTTTCACGTTTTTCGGACTCGTTCGTAACCATACCCTTAGAGGAACCCTAGAGAACCCCGAACTCTAACCACTAGAACCCTGAATCCACAAACTTTTCATAGAACCAAAGCACAACCCTTAAACCCTACACCCTGAACCCTAAACTTCCCCAAAACCCGAAGCGCATAACCCTAACCATAAAACCCCCCCCAAAAAAAAAAAAAAAAAACACACCCTGAACCCCCAAAAATTGAACTACACCCTACACTCCAAAAAAGGAACCACACCCTACACCCCAAAGAGGAACCCCTATAGATCCCGTAGAGGAACCCCTAAAGAAACCCGTATAGAACCCTACACCCCAAAAAGGAACCCCTGACCGATACCGAGCCGAAGAGCGAGCGAGCTCTTCCTGTAAGGATCGCTTTACAGGGTACTATAGAGTTTAGGGTTTAGGGTTTAGGGGTTTAGGGTTTAGGGTTTTAGGGTTTAGGGTTTGTGATAGGTCCCTTTCAAGGGAACCTGTAAAGGGTACCATACGGTTTTGTGATTGGGTCCCTTTAACAGGTACTGTAGGGCCCCTTTAAAGGGTACTATAGGGTTTTGTGATAGGGTCTCTTTCAAGGGTGCCATAGGGTTTTAACCGAGCCGAAGAGCGCGCGAGCTCTTCCTTCTCCCACTGGGCATAGCGCTTCTGCCACTGCCTCTCGGACCTTCGAAGTGGGTTCCGCTTAAAGGCTTTAGAAGTTTAGGGTGCCTCTGAAAGGATCGTATAAGGGCTCCTTGAAAGGGATCCTATAAAGGGTTTAGGGTTTAGGGGTTTTCGGGATTGGGGGTTTAGGGTTTTAAGGCTTTTGGGGTTTAGGGTTCAGGGGTTTAGGGGTTTAGGGTTTAGGGGTTTAGGGGTTTAGGGGTTTAGGGGTTTAGGGGTTTAGGGGTTTAGGGGTTTAGGGGTTTAGGGGTTTAGGAGTTTAGGGGTTTAGGAGTTTTGGGGTTTTGGGTTTAGTAGCAAGATATCGAAGGGACCCGGGTTGTCGTTCTGCTAAGCTCCTCAGAGTCCTCGAGAGCTGCCTTGGGTCGGTGTCGGCAGAAAAAGCGGGTGGGTAGACCAACCATCTCTGCTCCTCCGATTTCGGAGCGTACGGAATCGGCGGCACTGTTGCGCGGGTGACACCTTCCCCCTTAGGACCAGCTGCCGCCATATCCCGGGTCCATGTGCATATTCATATAGACATGGCCAAGACTGAGAGGATCTATGGCTTGCTTGAGGGTTTTTGGGGGTAGTGTCTAGGATTTGTAACAATTAGACTAATATTTCTAAGACTTCCTCCTGAACCCAAATCCTTGAATCCAGCAGCACTTGAGGGTTTCAGCAGGGTTGTATCACGGCTTAAACTTCCCGAAGGCTCCTAAATATTGCAAAGCACACCTTAACACGCAAAGGGATCCGTAATACGACTCAAAAAGCTTTCATCTTGACTGCCTTCCTGCCCGTCCTAATTTTGAACCCAAGCCTTAAACTCCTAGCCCCTTAACCGTTCCTGCCCAAACTTTGCACCAAGTGTTCCATACTTGGAGGGTCGGGGGACTTAGTAAGTAGCTAATAAGTAGAGATGTAAGTACCCTAAAAGGGATCCTAATTGGGGTTATGGTACTTATAAGTCTCTAAAATAACTTGTTGCTAAGTCCTCCGACCCTCCAAGAGAGGCTTAGTGGGTTGAGGCTTTTGGGATCCGAGTTAGGGCTGGGGGATCAGGATGCAGGGTCTAGGAATTGAGCTGGCGCCCCCCAAACCCTCTAAACCCTGAGCCCATAGGAAGAAGGTGGGTAAGGATGAGAACAACGATAAGAGCACCAAGACAAATTGGAATGCTGAGAACACTAGAACACCAACCACAGTAACGAGAATCTAAGAAACTTCCAACCCATCGAAACTCCCTAACCTCAAGCCCGAAAAAAGACTAAACCCGAACCCTTAAACTCTAAAGCCTCCGACCAAAACCCTAAACCTTTTAGCCCGAGACCCTGAACCAGGCTTCTGGCTCCTCGTCCTGAAGTCGCAATAGCTCCTCCTCGCTTGCTGCCTCTCTCGCAGATTCGGTTGGGTTGGTACGGGGCTTTAAGTTGGAACATGGACTTGGCCTGATCCTTGGTACGATTCCCCTTTAAAGGCAAGAGGATCATGATGTTCCAACATCTCGGCTTCGATTTTAGGGGTTTCAGAAATTGGCGACTCAGATCGGGGGTCTTTGCAGGGTTTGGGATTGTAGGTGGTTTAGAAGCACTACAATCATTAGAGTAGGGCTTTGGGTGGGGGGGACAGTATGCAATAGTTGCAACAAGTAAGCGCTTGGGCTTCTGTACTTAGGTAATTTTGCGGTTTAAGGTTCCGGAAGGGCTGTCTCAGGTGAGACTATGCAATGCAAAAAATAGAGTGTGATTTCAGTGAGCAGATACTATTCGGCTTGTTGTTTCGATTGCCGGGCTGGGGCCTGAAATTTACGATTCGGCTCACGTACTCTTTCGTATCGTGTTGAGATACGACGACGTGGATTTTAACTTTAAACCTTTTTGCAACTTAACATAAGCCTCCACATCTTCGTCTAAAGTTTAAATTTGCATTTTGGGAATTCATCCTTCGTACACAAACCCAAACACCAACAAAAAACCGTTCCAAGATCCGGAATGCATACACCCGGAACGCAAGACTTGATCCCTAGATGTAATTACTATAATGGCCTTATTCATTTGAACAGGGCTGGGCTTACATTTTTTGTCCACAATGCATTTATACAAGTCTTTAAATGGACTCCAGCGCCAGAGCGCCAAGCGATGCGTTCCCAAAAACGGGTCTTGCAGTGTATTCCGAAAGCTCGGTTAAACGGTTAAACCCGAAACGCATCAACACAGTGTAGCGTTTAGCGTTTACGGCACGAGCCCAACATGTTGGACACCAAATGCAGACATGTAGAATCTTGCACACACAACAAGTAGCGCGATGCCGCCTTCTCAAACGCAGACTACAGCATAGTGTACCCCAAAAATCAAATTGCGGAATTCGTACACAACCCATCGTGCGGCCCATCCAGAGCTCCAAAACCCAACATTGAAGCCCCAAAACAACCAAACCCGAAGCAGACAAAAAAACGAAACCCTACGCCGTAAGCTCCCAAATCGTAGTCTTAACCCCCTAACCCCGAAACCCCTACCCTGTCAAGAACCCTTATGATGAAAAAGAAAGCTTGAACTAAGACTAGCATGAAACCAAAGTCAACGTGGCGCGGCCTTCCGCGCCATCTCGAGCTTCAGCGCCTCCGTGAACCTCAGCCAAACACGGGGGGGAGCCGTAATAATTGAAGTAACGATCGGTTTAGGGTTTACAGTTTACGGCCCAGGGTTTAGGGTTCAGGGTCTAGGGTTTACGGTTACGGGGCTTATAGGGTCTTTGTTATAGGCCAAAAGAGTTTATAGAGCTTAAGGGCACTAGGGGCCGAAATTCGGTAGAAAAGGGCTGCTTTAACGGGTTGTTTAGGTTCCTGTAAGGTTGGCTCGGTGTAGTGAGGACCAACATCGATCGACCAATGCCGGCTTTCCCGAGTCCTCCCGAGGGCAGAATTCAAGATCTACGGTGTCCTTTTCTGTGGAAGCGTCGGTTTCTGGGGCCGGCCGTTTGCATCGCCCCCGCCCACGTCCTCCCCGACCAGCAGCGGGGACACGAGGCTCCTGTTTGGGCACAGCACCTGGACGCTTGCTTCCCTTTGGCCGCACACGCGGCCGTCCAGTCGAACTTGCTCTTGGAACCGAAGAAGAAAAGTATTCTGGCACTGTTGAACCGTAGGACTCTTGGCAACAAGCACGCAATGTTCAGTCATGCCGCTCTGCCCGGCGTCTCCACCAAATCAGTTGCCCCCTCTTACAAGGCAGTGTGCATATCGAACAGGCGTGCGACTTTGCGCGGGCGAAAGCCCTTCTCATCGAGAGTTCCGATCCGCCCAGCACTATCAACTGCAGCTTCGAAAACATCCGGACTGTAGGGCCCCATGCCACGGGCAGGGTTTCTGGACCGTCACCAGTGGATCCCAGATGGCACCGTGGCATCATCGGACATGCTGCGCGGTCGTCAATCACGGGGTACAGGGATAAAGAGAAGATAAGAAGAAAAGTCGCAGGGAGTCGGGGATCGTGGACCCTGTGCGGGTAACGATGCAACCTAATGAGGACACGATCTCCACTGATTCGCCGTCCCCGTTCAAGCTGAAACAAGGTAATGAGTCGGTGCATCTTTTGCTGACGTGTCATCGGCCAGCTGTATGATGCTGGCTGACAGATTGCTGTGTTGGTGTGTTGGCATTCGCAGCCAAGGCCTATGCGCGACGGCCAGCACCTCGGAAGTTCTTCAAGAAGGCCCTCAAGTCCTGGATGTCGGATGGCCTGTCTTTGTGGGTCTTCTTCAGCTCGAAGGCCGTGCTGCCGACGAAAACCAGAAACCAGCAGGCCCTGTCCTTGAAACAGTCCGTCTTCCAAAGCGCTCCCAACTGCGAGGTCAAGGCATTGTCGTGGCATTTCACCACACGGACGAGGCACCGGTCATCGGGCAAGAAAACCTTCGTCACGTTTGCCTGAAACTGTGTTGTCAGAAGACTTCCCGGCAGGCCAAGCAGGCAAAGTAACGTGTAACGATGCAGTTGTACAACAGCAGCTTGACATTGCATAGTAGTAGTGAACAAGTGCAATCCACATGAATTTCCAATGCATCACCGAGGTCGGGGCAGCTCTGAAGCTTTTGAATTCTTCTCCACGACCTGGGCAGAATGGCCGCGGAGGAAGGCTTCCAGCTTGGAGTCGACCAGGTCCAGGATGTACTCGAAGGTCTCGGAGTCATCCGGGCACTGGCTTGCAAGCGCAGAAGCCAGGGCGTTCGTCAGGCAGAGTGACCTCAGAGCATGCACCGCGTTCTGGAAGGGCTGCCCAGGCTGAAGGCGCAGAGCCAACAGGTGCTAGAGCAGCTGCAACAGCTCGACCGCCGTCTTCCTCATGAGGATCACACCGTTGTTGGTCCGGTTGTTGCGGCGCGCGCGGCACAGGAAAATCTGTCTCCAGAAACGCCCTGCCTGACCCTGGCTTTGACGACCTACCCTCCTACCTACCCTTTCACCCTCTAGGCCGACTGGACCACACATACCACACACTAAAGCCACGTCCGATTAAACCCCAAGTCCAACTCTAAACCCTAACCCCAAGGGCCCATGGCACCTAAAGCCCTCCTGTGTGGCATCAAAACTGAAAACGGAACCTTCAGGCCTTCACCAAGGACTCCACCAGCTGAAGAAGAAGAAGAGCACCAGCCACGACAGGGGACACGAAAACTCAAAGCTTCGCCAGGGCCCCTAAAAGCGCCATGACATCATTCTTTTTGAGGGGGGGCGGTTCAAGGTTTAGTGCTTAGGGCTTATTGCTAAGAGAACCCCCCTAGACCCCTCATTCATAAGCCGTTCTGCGAAATTTGAAACCCCAAACCCTGAGCCCCAATCTCCTAATCCCCTAAAGCCCTAAACAATTTAGAGTAAAGCCCATAAAGTTGGAAACCGCATTAAGGCCGAATAGTGCTGGGATTTCCTATATATTACTCTTAAGGATTGAGGCTATTGGGTTTCCAACTTTTGGGCTTCTACTGTAAACCCCACCCTAAAGCCCTAAGCCGTTTATAGGATCCCTTGAAAGGAGCCCTTATAGCATCCCTTTAAGGAACCCTGAAGCCCCTATTACAGATCGCTTTAAGGAACCCATATCGATGTAGGATCCCTTTAATAAGGAACCCTAAAATCCTATCTTAAAACCCCTAAAGCCTGTGTAAGACCGTCGCTCCATGGCCTTCCTCTTGGCCTTCAGCTTCTCGGCCTGCGAATTCAGGCTTGAGGTTCGGGCTTAGGGCTTACAGGGTTTAAGCTTTAGGGCTTAGGGTTTAGGGTTCTGAGATATTAGGGTTTTAGAGTTTCGGGCTTAGGGCTTACAGTATAGGGTTTAGGCTTTAGGGTTCAAGATTTAGCGCTTGAGGTTTAGAGTTTAAAGCTTAGGCTTCGGTTTTCGGGCTTGGGGTCGAGGGGTTCAGGGTTTAGGGTTTTAGGGCCCCTTACTTGGAGGTTCATGAGTAGTTATAAGCGCGGTTTTTAGTCCCCTAATATGGGTTATAAGTGTATATAATTACCCCACTTATAACTCACTGGCCCGAAACCCAAGGAAATAAAGTTGAAACTGTCAGAATCGACTACCTTATAAGAACCCCAAAAGTTGAAAAGTTGAGTTTACAGCCATTAAGATAACCACCCATGAACCCCAAGTATATAGGGCTGTGCAGGCTTCTGGTTTGAAAAAATCGAGGTGCAGGGACTCAGGGCCTTGCGGTTTCAGGGTTTAGGTTTAGGGTTTAGGGGTTTCGGGTTTTGGGTTCAGGGTTCGGGGTTTAGGGTTTAGTGGAGTTTTGAGTTCTTGAACATGGGCTGAAGGATACTGCTTATGGATTTGCAGTGTCAATACTGAAGGATAAACGAACCGCTTGCCCGTAGGAAAGACTGCCCTCTATCCTCATATGAAAGCTCTGTCATTGCAAAAGAGGCGTTCTTAACCGGCACTACGTTTTCAAGCACCTTGGTGCTCTGCAGGCCTGCAGGTCTAGGATGTGGGTTACTTCGAGGGTCAGGGGACTTAGTAAATAGGTAGTAAGTAGACTCATAAGTACCCCAAAAAGGATCTTAGTTGGGGTTGTGGTGCTTATAACTATATTTATTATCTACTTACTAAGTCCCCTGACCCTCCAAGTAGGGGTTTGTGTTGAAGGTTTGGCGTTGAGCGTTCAGGGTCCAGCTTGAGCCTCAACGGTCGCCCAGTCCCGTCAGGCCCACGTAAACACAAGAATCCGATATGGAAGTTTCCGAAAACGGGGGACCCTACTAGAGTACCCTAAATAGTAGGATCCTTCTTATAAGGGCCCCCAAATAAGGTAGCCCTATTTTCTGAAACTCCCATATCAACTGAGCACATATGAAACCCCATAGAGCTTTGCAAAGAAGTCTACCAACCCCCAAAAGACACCACTACGAACAAGTTCCCAAATCACAGAAAGAATCCGCCAGAATCCTTTCGAAAGACCCATGAAATCCTCAAACCCTCCCCCCGGAACCCTGCCGACTGCAATATACAAACCCCAAAACAGAAAGAGAATCATGGCACTCAGACCTCTGCGAAACAAAAAAGTTAACCCTAAAACCTAAACCCTAAACCCTGAACCCTAAACCCTGAACCCTAAACCCTGAACCCTGAACCCTGAACCCTAAACCCTAAACCCCCCTAAACCTTCCTAAAGCAGAAACCCCAAAAGAGAAAAAAACTGATGGGAGGCCAAAAGGGGGGGTAAGGATTCCTTAATATGAACCCTATTATGGGAACCCTAATCCCCACTTAAACCCTCGTGGGCTAACACCCCTTTTGGCCTCCTACGTATGAAAAACGCATACCGAGCTCCCGGCCTCCTCCTGCTCGGCGATCTGGCGCTCTCTTTCCAAGACGCCGTTGACGAAGTTCCTCTAAAGGTCTCTAAAAGGCTTCATAGGGTTCCTTTAAAGGGATCTAGAAGGGTTCATTTAAGGGACCCACAGCTGAAGGTATATATTCCATAATTGAGGGCTTGGGTTTTTTTACGGTTTAGGGTTTAGGGCTTGGGGTTTAGGGTCTAGGGCTTAGGGTTTTTCGTTTAGGGTCTAGGCGTAATGCTTGGGGCTTTGGTTTACGGTTTCAGGTTTCGCTTGTGTTCGCTTCGGGTTTAGGTTTACCCTTCTTTAAGGTTTGCTGGAGGCTTGGTCTTACTTACTGTAAGCTGGCGAAGGAAACCCTCACTGTGTGGGGTTAAGGGGTTTAGGGCTTTAGGGGCATCAACTTTCAATGCTCTTTCCGGTTTTCTAGGGTTTAGGTTCCAAGAAATTCCTCAACCCTGAACCCAGGCCGTTCAGGACTTGGACAGACGCATCCCTCCTGGGGGAGCAAGTACCTTTCAAGGCTCATGTTTAAGTGCTCCTGCCGATTGACACAATGATCTCAATGATCATGCTGGGATGAGCATACAGCAGTGATGGTGGTTACAAAAAGAGTAACGCGTGTCTAATACATGTTATAGACAGGGGAAAGAGAGACAGGTAAATAGACAGATAGGTAGAAATAGCAACTGAATTGTAGCTTTCAGCGCTCAACGCCTTAAATATCGGACTGATCGTTTAGGGTTTAGGATTGTGGGGCTTGCTGTTCGGGTTGTGGCATCTCTCGGAATTTTGAAACCAATGCCCCTAAAGCTCCAAAGCCTAGACCCCATAACCCCACAACCACAAATCAAGACCCCTAAAGCCCTAAACCCAAACCTCAATAAGCCTAAACCCGAAAACTCTATACCCAAGCCCTAAAGACCCTAAACCCGCGGTAGGAAGAAGCAGGGCTCCCGGCTTGTCAAACTCCTTGTCCATCCTCTCTTCCTCCGCGCGCTGGGCCTGCGGCTTAGGAAAGAGGGTGTGGCTTAGGCAATTTCGGGCTTCTTTCAGGGCCCTTTCAACGTCTCTCAAAATGGCTGCAGGCTTAGAGCTCGCCTTAACCGCAGATAACCTACCTTTTTGAAGACTCATATAAGCAATTCATAACAAGGAACCCTCAAAATACACGCTTCTTACGGTTGAGGTTTGGTTTAGGGCTTAGGTTGGCGAGGGTTCGGGATGCTACGCTCCGTTTGGGGGGTGGGGGGGTGGGGCGTTTAGGGGACCTGGGTTTTAGGGTTTAGGGTTCAAGGCTAAGGGTTTTGGGTTTCTAGTGCTTAGGGTTTAGGGTGAAGGGCTTAGGGTTTAGGGTGGGTTGCAAGTATATTTAAAGGGTCATGGGACTTAGGGTGCCCGATCACTTCTGTCCTTTTTTTTTGGGTTCACTTGTGTCTTTTTTTTGGGGGGTCGCTTGTGTCTTTGTTTTCGGGGTCGCTTCTGTCTTTTCCTTCTTCGGAAGCAACAGTCTCGAGCGAGAGGTGCCTTGGTAGGACCTCACCCCGCTCAGTTTCAGGCTCGGTATACATAGAGTGCAAAGGTAATTAGCTTGCTCCCTTTCTGCGTCCACATGCACATAGACATGCATGCGTACTCTACGAGGGGGTGTCTAAACATGTGTAGATATTTATTGTATATTACACATTGTACGCATATACATATACCTACATGTAAACATATACGTACACATAAACACATGCAACTAACATATACAGTTTACTCCTTCTAGGGTTTCCTTCTGGGTTTACTCCTCTTAGGGGTTGGGCCTTCATTCATTAGGGATTCGTTCTGGGTTTACTCTTTTTCGGGTTTCGTTCTGGGTTTACTCCTCTTAGGTCGTTCCGGGTTTACTCCTTTTAGGGTTTCGTTCTGGGTTTACTCCTCTTAGGGGTTAGGCCCTCTTTCATAAGGTGTCGTTCTGGGTTTACTCTTTTAGGGTTTCGTTCTGGGTTTACTCCTCTTAGGGGTTGGGCCTTCTTTCATTAGGGTTTCGTTCTGGTTTTACTCCTTGCAAAATTTAGGGTTTCGTTCTGGGTTTACTCCTCTTAGGGGTTGGGCTTCGTTCTGGGTTTACTCCTTTAGGGTTTCGTTCTGGGTTTACTCGTCTTAGGGGTTGGGCCTTCTTTCATTAGGGTTTCGTTCTGGGTTTACTGTTTTAGGGTTTGGTTCTGTGGGTTTACTCCTCTTAGGGGTTGGGCCTTCTTTCATTAGGGTTTCGTTCTGGGTTTACTCCTTTTAGGGTTTCGTTCTGGGTTTCCTCCTCTTAGGGGCTGGGCCTTCTTTCATTAGGGTTTCGTTCTGGGTTTCCTCTTTTTAGGGCTGCGTTCTGGGTTTACTCCTCTTAGGGGTTGGGCTTCGTTCTGTGTGTACTCCTTTTAGGGTTTCGTTCTGGGTTTACTCCTCTTAGGGGTTGGGCCTTCTTTCATTAGGGTTTCGTTCTGGGCTTACTCCTTTTAGGGTTTCGTTCTGGGTTTACTCCTCTTAGGGGTTGGGCCTTCTTTCATTAGGGTTTCGTTCTGGGTTTACTCTCTTTAGGGTTTCGTTCTGGGTTTACTCCTCTTAGGGGTTGGGCCGATTACTCCTCTTAGGGGTTGGGCCGATTACTCCTCTTAGGGGTTGGGCCTTCTTTCATCAGGGTTTCGTTCTGGGTTTACCCTTCTTAGGGGTAGGGCCTTGTTTCAGCAGGGTTTCGCTCGGGGTCAGGTCCTACCAAGGCACCTCTCGTTCGAGACTGTTGCTTCCGAAGCAAATAAAAGACACAAGTGACCCCAAAAAAAAGACACAAGTGAACCCACAAAAAAAGACACAAGTGACCCCCCTTCCGGACTTAGTAACGAGGGTTATAATTAGTGTAACTGTACTTATAATTACTTATAACGCCAATTAGGGTACTTATAACCCTACTTACTATGTCCCATGATCCTCCAAATAAGTCTCCTGAGTATAACTATTGGATGACGGACTGAAAGTTTTCGGTGGGCTCCTTCCCCCTCTAAGTCTTTAGGAACCCTGAGGACCAATATGCCTAGCTACTGAGGCTGCGGTATTGCCCCGAGTTTCCTCCAGCTTTCAGCATTTAAGGTTCAGGTGGGAGAACTCTGCATGAACTTATGGCCCCATAACTATCCAAACTGCTCTACTCCTCTTAAACGGCAAGCAACACATATTCCTTTAGATATCCTCATAGCAGAAACCATAAGCCAAAACAGGAACCGAACAAGAATGGACACAGAGCCATATGTGTGGTTGTCAAAACTATGGTCCCTTTTGGGGTCCCTATTATAACACGGCCGGCACCGACCACTTAGGGTACCCAGGAAGGAACCTGAATCTTGACACCGACCGATTTAGTTTGTTACGTCAACCTCCAAACCATGCTGCTGACCTGCATTTCTCAAGAGGAGGACTAGGCCGTGCCATAGTAGCTACCTTTTTGCTGGGCTAGCTCTCTAAACTAGGGTCTCTTCTTTGGGGTTCCATCATATAAGGGTCCCCTACTATTTTGGGGACCTAAATAATGGACCCAAACTTAGAGAACTACCCATGCCAGGTTCGTCCAACAAGCTTCTCAGCATCCCACCTGCTGGATGGCCATGTACTCGTCTGCCTTCCGTCGCTCCTGGAACGACTTGGAGGTTCATGCGCACTTGCAAGTAGGGTCATAACCCTAAACCCTAAACCCCGAACCCTAAACCCTAAAGCCTATAAGCAACGCACCATGGATATACCGATCTGTGGCCCCAAAAGTAAGCTGCGTATCACCAATATCGGGGCAGGAATGATACTGCTGATGGACAAAATCCTGCATTACCCGTCATAAGGAATATACCATAGTTCCCATAGTTTAGAGTCCTCAGGGTTCATGCAGGATTTTGTCCATCAACAGTAAGACTGGGACTTGGGGCTTGGAGGTCCTTGGAGGGGTTTCTCCTGTATCCCCGAAACCTTAATATAGGGGCCTGAAGAAAAGATGATGGGGTCTTGGGGTATGTTGTACTATCATTGAGGCCACCTATACTAATTCTGTCCTAGACCCTTCACCTAAACCTTCGGCGATTCGATTGTGTACTAAACTGTACAGGCCGCTACCTTCCCCATCAGTCTGGAAACGTCAGTCGAAGTCTCTGCCTAAATGCCAAGACGTAAGGCCTGATCCCTGATATTGGGGTTGAGGGCTTCGGGTTCGGAGTTTAGGGTTTGGAGTTTAGGATTCAAGGTTCAAGGCGTAGGATTAAGGGTTCATAGAGTTGAGGGCTTAATTGAACCCTAAATGACTTACCTTTCTCGGGGCCCTTTTCTATGACTTCTGCATGTAAATCATCAGAAGAAGGAACCCCGAATTCCTTAACTCGTTGGTGCTTATTGGTTCTGCATTGGGAGAAGTATTCAACAGCACGCCTTAACTAGGACCAAGGTGCGCTCTTTGATGAGGGGACATTGCTGAATTCACGAATTGGGAGGAAGTATGACGGAGCATACCTTTGCTAGAATCACTGGACCTAAGACACAGACACACCCAAGAACAGAAGGGAAATTCCTAGACCCTAAACTCCTAAACTTTACTGAACCCGAAACCCTAAACCCCAAAACGTAAACCCTGAACCCCAAGCCCCAAACCTCTCTTTCATATTAGTGTTGAAACCTTAACAGTATGTGTCGGCAACCGTTTCTTGACGGTTGCCGACGAAGAAAAACCGTCTGCCGACGAAAAAGATCGGTTGCGGACCAGGAAAATTAGTTGCCGAGGAAGTGGTCGCCATTGCCGACGAATTCCTCGGCAACCGTTTTCCTTCGTCGGCAACCGTTTTCGCGAATGTATCGTCGGCAACTGATTTTTCGATCGTCGGCATCTGCGATTCCGCGATTTACTAGACATCTGCGAAACTTGAGTTTTCAGTGTTTAGGGTTTGTTTGGGGGCTCTTTTTAAGGGGCTTAGGGTTTAGGACGTTTTTGGGGTCGAGCTCCGGTTTTCCCGATGTTGTGGAATTCTTGGTTAGGGTTTAGGGTTTAGGGTGGGTCATCTTCGATACCGGAGAAGCGAGCTCGACCAAAATCTGCTCGAACTGAGTGGGCCGAACGCTGCACCCCAAACCCTAAACCTAAACCCCAACACCCTAAACCCTAAACCCCCAACCCTAAACCCTAAACCCTAAAACCCTAAACCCGAAACCCCGCGGAAAGCAGGCCCCACGCCCAGGTAATTGATGCGGGCGTCCGCTGTTTCCAGGATGGCGGCGTCTTCGATCCCAGCCGTTGGCAGTCTCCTAGCTGCAATTCGAACGGTGCGAAGCGCATCGTGCGCCTATAGTTTTCAGCCTCACTGACGCGGAATGCCGCCGAAAGCTGCGCCAGGAATGCAGCCTAGACTCGCCCAACCCCAAGCCCCGAAACCCCAAAACCCTAACCTCCGAAACCCAAATCCCTTATGGAGCCCTGAAAGGAAGCCTTAAAGGAACCCTAAACCCCTAAAACCCTAAACCCCAAAGTTGGGCCCCGGTCGGAGGCTGGGGGGTCTCTAACATCGTGCCGAGCCCAGAGCCTCCTTGGCCTGGATCCGGTGCTGCACCACGGCTTCCTTCTCCTTCGCAGAAGGTTTAGGGGTTTAGGGTTCCTTTAAACTTTCAGGGCTCTATAAGGGGTCTTTAGGGCTTTGGGTTTCGGAGTTTTCGGGTTTCGGGGTTTAGAGTTGAGGGTCTCCGGCTTCCTTCTCCTTCGCAGAAGGCTTAGTGCTTAAAGCTTAGGGCTCATTGCTAAGAGAACCCTCTTAGAACCCTCATTCATAAGCCCTTCTAAAACCCCAAACCCTGAGCCCCAATCTCCTAATCCCCTAAACCCCCCTAAACAATTTAGAGTAAACCCCATGGAAAGTTGGAAACCGGATTAAGGCCAAATAGTGCTGGGATTCCCTATACACTACTCTGAAGGATTGAGGCTATTGGGTTTCCAACTTTTGGGCTTCTACTGTAGGGTTGAGAGTCTCCGTCACCTTACTGTAGGCTTCAGGGTTTAGGGTCTCCTTTACCTTAGGGTGCAGGGTTTGGGGTTTGGGGTTTGGTCTGGGGTGTAGGGCTTGGGGTTTAGGGTTGGGGTTCAGAGTATAGGTTTACCGTCTTCTCCCTTAGAGCATGCGGAGGTGGATCTAGGCAGTAAAGCCGAAACCATGAACCACAGCTAGGCTTTGCGATGCCTTGTCTTCTGATGTCTGTGAAATGTAGTAAGCGTCGACAGCCCTAAACCCTAAACCCCTAAACCCCTAAACCCTGAACCCTGAACCCTAAACCCTAAACCGTCATTTCACTTGATGCCCTCGGAAACACGCCTTGAGCAGGTTGTGCGGCTGCTCCATAGACTTCTTGAATCTGCATTTGCACCGGACATGCGCAAAGCCATCTGGCGCGCTGTGCCAAAACGGCACACCATGGCGGATTTTGGTAAGAAGTTTAAGCTCGATCCTGCCCTGCAGCCGCCCGCTCAGACCGAGCTGCCATGGCGAATCAGCTGGTCGCCATCTTCAGGGCGAACTGATGTGGCCGCTGCCAGTCATGCCAACCGAAGGATGCCCACGGAGGCAAAGTTCAGTTTGACTTCCAGGAATCTTCGGAAGTAACGCGCATCGTCCAAGTTCGACTGTTGGTGTCATTCAATGCGGGGTCTAGGGTTTAAAGCTAAACTCTGAGACAGTGTGAGGTTTGGGGTTTTAGGGTATAGGATAGGATTCTTAAACTGTGTTTCTACCAGGGCTCCACAACGGTTTCATGAGGGTGCGGGGTTGCTGCCTTCAGCATCGAGGGATTCGAGGGTTACCTAGCTCAATTGAAGTTTACTAACCCTAACCCCTGACCCCTAAACCCTAAACCCTAAAGAAGAGCCACAACTCCGCAACGACTCCTGAGCCCTTAATTGTGCGATGGAACATAGGTTATAACAAGTTGTTCTAGAGATATCCGATATCCTTGACGTGACCTAAGACCTAGGGTGTATTCCCTAATTAACTACCGCACCCCAGTGACCATAAACCTATGAAAGAACTCTATGGTACCCTTTGAGGGGAACCCTACGAAAGAACCCCAGAGTACCCTCAAGGGTTCCATTCCCTTACAACACCCTAAACCCCACACCCTAAACCCCATAATCCCGAACCCTAAACCCTGAGCCCTCAGCCCTTGTAACCTCAAACCCTAAACCCTAGGCCCTTTTTTGAATCCCTTTAAAGGAGCCCTTACAAGATCCCGTTAACACGAACCCTTAACTCAACCAAACCTCCTCGGCTCGCAAACCCGGAGACGAACCCTCAACTCTCGAAGCCCAACACTGCTTCTGCCCTTGAGGGTTTAGGGCTCAGGGTTGAGGGTTTGGGGTTTTAGGTTTAGGGTTGGGGGTTTCAAGTTTAGGGTTGGGGGCTTAGGGTTTAGAATGTAGGGCTTAGGGCTTAAGGTTCAGGGATTTGGGCTTAAGGTTTAAGGCTTCAGGTCTGAGGTCTCGCGTAAACCCCAAGACGTCAACAAACTACTCGGAAGCCGAGGTCGCAAAACTCCGAAGTCAAGACCCCCAAAGAATCTCTTGAGGTTTAGGGGTTTAGGGGTTTAGGGTTTAGGGTTTAGGAGTTTAGGGTTTAGCGTCCAGAGCGCCACACCCCAAGTGGCTACACCTGGGCTTACTGAACCTCAAAGCCTAATACAATAATACCGCAGCAGAAGCCTGAACGAGCAGCAATGCTATGCTTTGCGCCTCGTTAGTGAAGATTTGGTGTCTGAGTAGTGATTAAGGACCCTTGGCTAACTGGAATCCCAGTGGCTCCGAATCTATCGTAACAAAATTATCAGAGCTTAGGCTTTGGGGTTTCGGATTTAGGGTTTAGGGCCAGGGTTGCGGTTTTAGGCTTTGGGGCTGCGGATTTAAGGCTTAGGATTTCGGAATTTAAGATCGAAGATGCCAGAGCAAGTCATAGAGCACCCTTTGCCATCACCAGATCGAAAACCCTGTGATGGCCTCAAAGACCCCTTGTGGAGCTGTTGTAGAACCGTTCTGCACCCCTTTTAAAAAGCCCCAAAGACATCTGGGCCTCCACTTTTGTAGAACCGTTCTGCACCCCTTTTCAAACGCCCCTTAGACACCTGGCCTCCACTTCCTGTTGGGCCCAGAGCTTCTTCATCTTCTCGGCCTGGCAACACTCCAAGGGTAAAAGGAGGGCCCTTAATAAGGACCCCTAGGTATATGCCCTCAATATAGCTATTATATACCCATTATAATAGCCCATTATAGGGTAGGGGTCCCCATTAAGGGTCCCTCCTTTTCCCCTTTGAAACACAGATGCTTTCCTCAAAGGGTCCAAGTTATCAGCTCTTATGGGTTTAGCCATAGGCCCCATGGTAGTTCCTTTTTGGGGGTTCCTATTTAGAATCCTATAAGTAATCTCAAAAAGGAACTACTATGGGGCCTATGGGTAGAGGTACCACGAAACCAATCAGAGTATGGAATTTGGGAAGCAAAGCCCTACCCAGTTGGCCTTGAATCACGTTAAAGATCCGCGATGTAGGGTCTCTTGCTGGACCAGGGGTGTTCACAGTCCTGCGTAACCATGATGAAGATTCGCTGTGGCCGCCATCAAGATGCGAAAACCCAACTTACAAACCCCGATCACCCTCCAAAGTCTGGTGCTTTAACAAAGATGTTCACAACGCCTGCTACATACCCCCAATGGACACGTACAAAGCCTTCTTACCAGTGTCATTGCTGCAAAATGCAGGGCCTTAAAGCTTAAAACCGAAGCCCTATTGAACCCCCCAACCCAAAGCTTGGTCTTTAAACCTTAACCCCAAACCCGTAACCTGAGTCGGCCTCGATGGCATCCTCTGCCTTGTCTTGCTCCAACTGGGCGGGGAAGCACCGCTGCACACGGAAACACCTAATGTAGGGGCCTAAACAGCTTAACAACTAGAACGGGACTTTGGCGAATGTGATCGCTTAATTATATAAGGTATCCTGATGAATAACATTGCTTATTACTCCGACCCATATGTTATCCGCAGTAACAACCACTAAAAGTCACCAACAGGCAGACGCCGCATAAGTAAACGTCTCTGCAAGCCCGGAGAACCCCCCCGAAGGTGTGCCGTTGCGGCCACATCTTTAAGTCTGGCTGGGATGAGTCAGCAGATATTCGGAGGACCAACTAGAAGACCAATATTTACGCGTTTACATGGCGGTGCCCCGTGTAGTTTAAAAGCAGCGAGCACAGACGTCACCAGCTACCAAAATCAACAATGCGGCAGCCATCGACAGCAACCACGAACAACCTCCACGTCAACAACGGATGGGCTTGCGGATAAGGCTTACGGGTTTGAATGTGTAGGGTCTGGGCAATAGTGTTCGGGGTTTAGTGGCTACGTCCAAAATCAGTTGAGGTGAGGCTTATCGAATATGAAAGATCAAGAAGGACAACAAAAACTCAAAACCCTAAACTCCTAAACCCCAAAGCCTCAAGCCTAAAGGCTAAACATTAAACTCCGAAAGCCTACATAAACCCTGAGCCCTCGGAAACTTTGAGCTTCCGCTCCTGTGCCCTTCATGCCAACTCTCAGAAAAACCCTAAACCCCTAAGCCCCTAAGCCCTTATAGGAAACTCCAGAAAGTTGGAATATGGATTCATGGTAGGATACCCTATAATTTACCAAAGAAGGGCTAGGATAATCATATTCCAACTTTCTGGCTTTTACCTTAATGGCAAAATCCTACGCCCTTCCCCCTAGGTCATGTAACCCCCAACAGTACAGAAGGGTCGGGGGACTTAGCAAATAGATACTTTATAGACTTGCAAGTATCATGACCCCAAGTAAGATCCGTCTTAGGGAACTTGTACTAAGTCCCCGACCCTCGGAAAGCAATGCGCCACTAAACTCATCCGCCGAAAAACAGCAACCGCTCGTTGTCGCTGAAGCCAGTGAAGCCACCATTAGTGATCATTTGTGAGCCGGTCCGCCTCGACATTCTGGAGCCTGGGAAGCCATTTCAACTGCAGCTCGGACGATTTGACAGGAAAATTCGCCGTTCTTTCTCTTCCCACTTCCCGATTTCACGGTCTCCGCATCGCTTGCTGCACTTCTTTCCTTCACTCGCCTCGTCATCAACTTTGAACGGCAAACGTGTTGCGGCGATTGTCAGCGCTAGCCGAGCACGTGCAACCGAGTTGTTGACCATTCGAAGCATCAAAGAGTACTACTGCAGCCAAGGTTGCAAGAAGCTACAAAGACACGGTTGAGGGTATATGTCTTGGGTTCAGGGCTTAAGGTTGGGGGGCTTGGGGTTTAGGGTGATGTCTGGAAGACCTTTGCGTTCGTTAGGGCGTATACGGTTCAGGGTTCAGAATCGCTGTCTTCAGGGCGAGAATACCTATGGTCAGGGTATAGTCAGAACCTTTTGGAATGCCTACTGCCTTAAAGGCCTGTTAAGTCTTATGGTTTAGGGTTCAAGGTTAGGGTTTGAAGTGTCGGATTGAGGGTTTAGGGTTTTAGCACTATAACCCCCCTTTAGAACCATGTGTATATATATATATAAAATACAAACAATCTGTTCAATCTTCTCTTCTCCTGGGTTTTTATGCGAGCAGAAATGAAAATCAAATTCCACAGGACACTATAGAGCACCTTCGGCGTGGAGGCATTGAGTTTCAAGCACTTGGAAGTATTGGGGGCGGCCTGGGCCTTACCACCTTTCGTAGTTTTAGGTAGTTAGGTTTAGGGTTTAAGGGTTTTGGCTTTAGGAGTTTAGGGTTCAGGGTTTAGGGTTTAGCTCAGGGCGTTTCCTTCTTGGGGCTTCGGAGTTTACGGTGCAACTCCAGACCCTGAATCTAAACCTTGAGGCTTCTTGAGCTGTGGAATATTCCGAATCTAGACCCAAGAGTAACCCAGGCATAAAAAGGATGCCCTTTTTGGTTTAAAGGGGATTATAAGGGAACCTGAAGCCTCAAAAAGGGAATAACGGGCCTACTCTGGGTCCTAGGAATTAAGAACCGAAACCCGTAGGGTGGTGAAGGACTTCTAGTGATGAACAGGAGCTTTGGGGTTTTTGATGGGAGGCCAAAAGGGGGGTTTAAGATTCTTGGGGTAGGGATTCCTTAATATGACCCTATTATAGGAACCCTAGTCCCTACTAAACCCCCATATGCTAAAACCCCTTTTGGCCTCCTATGAGTTTTGCAGGGGAGTATACGGGCTTTAAAGCCTCTGTAGCACTCTAAGGGAGTTTTCAGGATTTAAAACTGAAAGTCTAGGACTGAAAGCCCAGCGGCTAGGGCTTACTGTAGGGATTCTACGCAACTAGACCAGACCCGCAAAAGATGCAACCCCACGATTTCAAGTTAAATATCCTATATAAGCCTCCTTCAAGAGCTAGCTCATGATCCAGGTTGACCCTACGATTCTCCGAGGCCGATGCCCTCTCCCTCTTCATGTCCAGCTGTATTCCAAGCGTCTTCTTCTGCCTGAGCTTTGAGTGCGACAGAGGCCATACTCAGTAAAACTCGCCCTTTAGTGTTCAGGGCTCAGGGAATCAAAACAGTGTTCCTTATAAGGGTTCCGTTAAAATCCGTTAGAGGGCTACTCCCAGGGAGTGACATGGAGGCCTTGCGAGTCAACATAAGCTTCCTTTGAAGGGCTCCTTTAAGGCTTTGCTCCTCGGGTTCCTTTAAAGGGCTACGGTTACAGAAATATAGCGGCCTTCGCAATTCAATAAAGGCTTTGGGAAGAAAATACGTAACCCAAAACCGTAAACCCGAACTCTTATATAATAATCACGAAAGCTGAACCATGTCGCTGAAGATGGGTGGAGGAGGGACCCCTCTTCTGACACATATAGAACGGTTTGGGGTTTAGGGTTTCGGGTAAAAAACCCTTATGTAAGTCCTTACAGGACCCGCAAGGAACCCCTGCATAACCCTGAGTAGTGCCCTAGGAGTTTCACCTGTTTAGCTGCGTACAATCGTTTCACCGAAAGACTGTCCATTCGTCCCTTTCGTGACCGACCGGACGACTGAAGCTTTTCAACCCTAAACCCGACCCTAAACCCCTAAAAGCCCTACAAAACCCTGAAACCCCTAAAGCCCCTGCAAAACCCTCAAACCCCTAAAACCAAAACTGCAAAACCCTGAAAAACGAACGCCGGGAGCTTTTCTTCCCTAAACCCAAAACCCTAAACCGAGGGGTGCGTGCATTCGACGTGGTAAGGCCGGCGCACGTCGTTCCGCTCCTCCTTGAGGCCCTGCCAGAAGCGGCTGATTCGAAGTTTAGGGTTTAGGGGTTTAGGGGTTTAGGGTTTAGGGGTTCAGGGTTTACGGTTTAGGGTGTAGGATTTAGAGTTAAGGGTTTGGCCCAGCCTTAGGGTTCAGGGTTTAGGCTTGGGGCTGATCACAGGCTTTTGCAATAGCTCAAGCACCAAAGAAACATGCGACTCGTGGTACGTTCACTAGAACGAAAACCAGGCATGAAGATGTGGGTGCGAAGCGGACCTCGGCTTTGAAACTGCCACAGCGGGTCCAGAAAGGCACACCAACAAAGGACCCCCAGAAATTCGGGAGTTTTCAAATCCGAACCCTCTACATGGGTGGTTGTCAAAATTAGGGTCCCTTTTTGGATACCCTACATACTAGGTGCCGTACTAGAATAATTAAGGACCCAAAACGGGACCCAAATTTTGACAACCATCCACATCTATCAGGTAGGTTGGGCTTAGGGTTTGGATATGCTTTAAACCTATGAGGTACAGTATTACGAGCACCTGCGGAAGAGGCTGGAAGGGACGGCGCGCCTTCTCACGCTCTTCACGCTCGATCTTGGCAAGGTAGCCTTCGTACCTTGAGACAGGAGCAAATCCTTAAACCCCAAACCCGAAACCCTGAACCCTCAACACGACCCTTAAACTTAACCCGTTAACCGTACAGAAGGGACTGCCATGGGGCCTAGGTTTTTGCTGCTCTCTCCAAAAGGGACTACCATGGGGCCGGGGTTTTTGCAAACCCACTTTTACACACTCCCAGACCCCGGGAGGATCCAAAAAGTAGATCCCTTAATGGGGGTTCTATCAAGTGCCCTCAGTAGTATAGGGCCCCAAATTCGCCTCGGCCCCGGCCGAAGCGGTCAGAGGTTCCTATTCGGATTTCCTCTATTCCCCACCTCTTAATCCCCTCCCCAGTGACCCCACCCCCAAAATCGTGGCCACTCCCCTCCCCCTTCCCCCTTCTGCGTCCCAAATCGGCAGCGGTCGTTCCCGCACTGCCACGGGACAGGGTTCTCTTTGGCGGATTGCGGGCATCGGAGATTCAAGCATCGCTATTGCCCAGCTACGGGGTATGTCGAATATCAGGCACAGGATTCGGAGATGCAACAAGTTCTCTAAATCAGGCTCCTGTACGCAGACCACAGGATGATAATTATTTGGCACATGCGTGTGCAGCCGGGCCGAGGCGGGCGACGCGAAGCGTTTCAAATTAGGGGATCTACTTTCTAGATCCTCCCGGGGGTCTGGGCTTCTACACGAACAAAAGCCAGGCCACATAGCAGGCCGACCTCCAGACTCGATCCGCAAACCAAGTCCAAACACACAATCAGAACAACTCTGCGCTTGGACCTTTGGCTAGACATTGGGGCATCTGGGGACGCTTAGATCCTTAGATATTTAGCGTTTAAGGCTTTGAGTTACAAGGCTCTGGTGCAGGAGTGCTGCTGCATGACTGTTGATGTCCTAGGCCCCATCAACTCTTTTGAACGAAACCGGCAACAACCCGAAGCGCTGCTCAAGCCTGGCCCAAAACCGAAGCCGACACCTCACATCCCCAAGACGGAGCTAAGAGCAGCTGGAATACGTATTGTACATCCCCAAAGTCCCCTCTATCGATTCGGAGGAGGGGACCAGAGCTTGGCGTAGAAGTCGTCGATGCCCTTCTCCTGCGAAGAGTGAGGTTTAGGGTTTATGGTTGCATGAGACAAACTTTAGGGTTTAGGGTTTAGCCAACAAACCCATCATATGCGCTGGGGCTTTACAGGTGCTGCTTCAATGAGGCTTGAGCGTCCAGGACCTTGGATTCAAGGCTCATCTACTGGATCTGCAAGGCTCTGCAAGGTGGACTTGTTTTTTTCGAATGGTTCATGTTTATACTGTCGGTCTATTGGGGAACACTTCGGGAACTGTATTACCGGCTATCCAGGCCCCCATATTGTCCACGATTGTTGCTGCGCTCTTCCTCTACATTGGTGGGAAGCTCTGGTCCGTACCTACTTGGAGGGTCGGGCGGGGGACTTAGTAAGTAGTTAATAAGTAGAGTTGTAAGTACCCGAAAAGGGATCCGAATTGGGGTTATGGTACTTATAAGTCTCCAAAATAGCTAGTTACTAAGTCCTCCGACCCTCCAAGTAGTATAAAGGTCTGAAGAGGTGGTAACTATAGGTTCCTTTATCGGCCCTTGTCGATGGTATGCTACGATTGGCCCCAAAAGCCGGTTCAAATTCTTCAGGCCTTGCATCCTGTTTTAGGGTTTAGGGTTTTGAGCTGAAGGGAATTCAAGTCTTCCAACTTTCCTGTTCTTACTTTATCATAAAGCAGGACCGTTTGAAGTTTCCTAAATTATACCCGGGCAGTGATCTGGGCCAGGCACACGATTTGTTGGAAGAGCTTGCAGGGATTGCATGAGTTCAGGTCTAAACACTACCGGTGGTCTGGCAGCCTTGAACGGCATGGGGTGGGTGTATTTTCGCAGATCATGACTGGAGAGCTCTATGCTGCATAACTTTCACTTCTGCAGCGCCGTCCAAAAAAAACCAACCGAAACTCTAAACCCCCAACCCTGAACCACAAGAATGAGCCGCTGAGCTGTATGCCAGGTCTGGGGCATTGGGTCCCTCGAGACACTCCCATACGCCGTTTCGGCAATATTAAACCCCAAACCTTCATCATGGATAGTTATACGCAGGAATGTACGGATTACCGCTTCCTTTTCTTCTTGATAAGCCACTGCACTTGAAAGCCCCCCCCCCAACGTAAAAGAACCGTGCACCTCGAGTCAGCCCTTTCCACCCTGACGAATCTAACGTTAGCCTGATCGGGCATGGCATGCCAAGCCCGCAGCCTCCATCGTAACCCGATACCGGAACCTCCACCCTTCCCAACTGTGCTCTGCCCTCCACCCTCTACCCTCTGCCCCCCTTGCCTTGCTCCCTGCCCTGCCCCTGCCCTGCCCTGCTTGTCCTCACTGCCACGGTTTCTACAAGACCATCTCTACAAAACCCCAGACGGCCGAACCCTGTGAAACAAATTTCATCTCTATAACACCCTAAAGCACCCTTAACACTGCTTCGGGTTTAGGGTCTAGGGTTTAGGGCTGAGGGGAAAAGACAGCTTGTCAAACCCTAATGCAGCGTGTAAACCCAATAAAACCCGTAAAGCATTCTCTAAAAGTCTCTTACACATCCCCCTTATGGAAGCCTTATACCACGCCCCTGGACTCTCTCGGACGCCGCTTCCTCTGCTTTGCGCAACGCCTTGTCGTCCAGCTGGAAATCCCTGTTCCGGGCTCGGAGTTTAGAGCGTTGGCTTAAGGCTTAAACCTTTAGGGGTTATGTTAGGGCTTACAGGCTTCAGGCTGTAAGGCTTAGTGGTTTGAGCGTCTTGGGTTTGTGGTTTAAGTGTTTAGGGATAGACGTTTGCGAGGTCTAGAAAAACTTCAGCATGTGGGGCTTGAACTGTACCGATTTTATAACGGCTGCATAGGGGTGTAGGAGGAGGCGACAGGGTCAAAAAAACTTAAAAGGTTCATGTCCACGGTTTCTGAGATTTACGGCGTTTCCGGCGCTGACCTTATCAGACTACGACCCTGGTACGGTTGCCGTAACATAGATGCCTGAGTAATTCTGAACAAGTATCAAAAATTACTCCTCAGGCCTCCCTACTTTTACTACACTTTAGGTACTGCCCCCATACAGTAAGAGTCTATATAATTGGGCTACTGTTAAGGTCCTAATACATATCTCTATTATGAATATTGTTCAACTATCACTGAGTGGGGGCCGTACCCAAACTATACTGCATGTTTCCCCAACCCCTGCTCTTATTGAGGCCCCCTACATATTACATCCATATAGCACCTCTTACAATGGCCCTGAAAAACCCTCTAAAGGAACTAATGAAGAACGCTGCGCCCAACACCTGAACCCTGAAGAAACTCCGCACCCAACTCTAACCGCAACCCCACCCCCCCGACCCACCCCAAACCCTGAACCTAAACCAACCTAAACCCTCAACCCCACCCTAAACCCTAAACCCTAACCCCTAAACCCTTAACCCTAAACCTCTAAACCCCTAAACCCTAAACCCCTAAACCCTAAACCCCTAAACCCCTAAACCCCTACACCCCTAAACCCCTACACCCCTAAACCCCTAGACCGACACCGCTGAAGCCTGTCTGCAATGGTCTGCAGCTCTACTATCTTCGAGTCCATCGTGCGCAGGTCATCGAGGCCTCTCTGTTTCTAGTGCTTCTCCCGTTTAGGGTTTAGGGTTTTAAGGTTTAGGGTTTTAAGGTTTTAGGGTTTAGGGTTTAGGCGGTTTAGGGTTTTAGGGTTTAGGGTTTAAGCGGTTTAGGGCTTTAGGGTTTAGGGTTTAGGCGGTTTAGGATTTTAGGGTTTAGGGTTTAGGCGGTTTAGGGTTTTTGGGTTTAGGGTTTAGGGATCGTGGGGTAGGCCCTCAACTTTTCAGCATCGGGGCTTAGGGTTTAGGGTTCAGGGTTTAGGGTGCAGGGTGACGAGGTTAAGCGAGGTCAACTTGCCTTGACACTCTCAGGAACAAGCACAATGTGCCTCTAAACCTCAAACGCCTACACCCGAACTGCTAATCCGACGTCCCGCCCCTGCAGTCATTGACTATCCAGCTGTATACTCTAAGCGTCAAATCCCAAACTTGGAAGCCTGCTCACCCCTAAACTAGCAATGGAAGCTACCCTAAACATCCCTAAACCCTACACCCTAGCAAGGTTTGCGGTTCGCAGCTTGTTCGCAGGGGAAGGGCTGGGGTCTGGAGCTTGTGGGTGTAGGGCTTTTTAACGTCTGCCAAGGGATTTTGGGTTTGGGGTTTAGAGTTTACGGTTTTGACGGACCTCCGAAACCCATCTCACGGAGACACTGCGAGAATCCTGTACCAACCTATTCTACGAGTTCTAACTTCAAGGATCCTCCTGGGCACTCAGGGGCGCTCGCTTTCTAAACTAAACCGTCACATGACGAAGGGGCAGCTCCAACTGCAAAAACACGCGGAATCGAGTTGAAAAAAGCCGAAATGAAGTCTCAGACTCACCTGTTTAAGGCAAGTCCGCCCCCCCCTCTATATGGGGGTTTCCGATAATAGGGGACCCTAATATAGCACCCTAAACCGTAGGATCCTTCCTGCAAGGACCCCAAACGAAGGTACCTCGTATTTTCGGAAACTCCCATATTTCAACCCTTCATCAAACCTCCGCCCGAAACCTCCCAGTTAAGCCCTGAAACCCTGAACCCCAAAACCGTCGAAACCTTAGGGTGTTTTGGGTTTAGGTTTTAGAGTTTAGGGTTTAGGCTTAGGTTTTTAGGGTTTAGGCTTTTAGGGTTTAGGGTTTTAGGGTTTAGGGTTTAATGTTTAGGGTTCAGGATTTAGGGTTTAGGGCATCACAAGCCTGCTCGCCATTGCTGGTACAACTTCTCCTGAACCACCGCCTTTCTCTCGTCCTGTTTGATTGGGCTCCAAGAGACACTGTCAAGAGGGTTTCAGGTTTAGGAGTTAGGCTGGGATTCCGCACAAATTTCCGATCGTTTACGTCGAGTCTTTGTGACGATGCGACGATGCTAGGTTTTGCTCATGAACAGCACCCTAAGCCTTAAACCCTACAGTAGAAGCCAGAAAGTTGGAATATGATTATCCTAAACCCTTTATGGTAAATTATAAGGTATCCTACCCTGAAACCATATTCCAACTTTCTGGAGCTCCCTTTAAGCCCTTACTTCTGGGCACCGTATTTTCTGCCACATGGCTGTTTCTGGGTTGGGGCCGAAGCCGGGAATCAAGGGGCTTATGGGGTTTAGCGTTCAGGGTTTGGGGTTTAGGGTGTTTTAGGCTTATGGGGTTTAGGGTTCAGGGTCTAGGATGCTCTTTGCTTGGGGTCCAAGAACTGGGTTGCAGCTTTGGAGCCCCCAAGAGCATTTATGAAAAGGTATCTCTATAGGACCCTAGGGAAAACTATAAAGTTTTCGAAACTGCCACCTACCTTAGCCCCAACTAGCCTACCTTGTCAAGGACTCATGCAAGGAAGTCATATTAAAGGGCCGAAAAGTGATACGTATCCCCAACGCGCCACCTAGAGAATGGGATTCAGGTTCTGGGCCGTTTAGGCCCGGCTCAAGGGATGGGGTTTGCCCTAAACCCTAAGCCCTAACGTTTAGAGTCTAGGGTCTAGCATGGCTTGGCCATGCCTACATGTGATTTTGGGCTTCAGGCTCGGTCCCTGAACCTTCTGCCCGACAACCCTGCCTCCTTTACCCTGCACCCCGAGCCCCCACAACCCGGAAATCGCTAGACCCAAAACCCTAGAAGGAATTCCTTTTGGGGTTTGGGGGTGTAGGGTTGTAGAGTGTAGGGTTTAGGGTTTATTTCATATTGGGAGGGCTTGAGCTTTAGGATTTCGGGTCTTTGGAAATCGGTGGGTTACGTGCACTTGACGGCCTAGCTGCTGCAATGATAGCTATCCCATGAATCCTCTAGTAGGTACACTACCTTGAATGCAACCCCAACGAGAACCATCCCCATGTCAAAAAACGAAGATGAGTTCGAGAAGTGCTTAGGGTTTAGGGTTTAGGGTTTAGGGTCCACACGGAGCCTACAGCGTGTGAAACTTTGGGGCCTTAGTCTCTGCTTGCTTAGGTCATTTACACAACCCAAGATAGCATCCTGGACAGTTCCAAAAAGCTTTGTTTGACTTGTGTCCCTCTTCAGGACCATAAGAATAAGAATCCTACTGCTTAGGGTGTCTATACCAGGGTCCTTCTTGGAAGTAAGGCTTGAGACTGCACCCCCCCCTCTTCGAAGCCTAAACCCTAAACCCTTATCGCTAAACCCTGATCCCTAAACCCTTATCTTTGAACTCCCTAATCCCTCAACCCGAAACCCTTAACCCCAGAACCTTCCCCTGAAAGTCGGGAGCAACACCTCGCGGCGCTTCTTCAGCTCGTAGGCACGCGCCTGGGTGAAGACGCCAATCATGTATATTGGGGGTCTGGGGTTTACGGTTTAGGGTTTAGGGTATAGGGTTTGGGGCGTAGGGGCTTGAATCAGGAGCTTGAACTTAGCGTATAGGCTGTATATAGTTTCAAGGTTTTGGTGGATGCGGAGTTCTTGGAAGTTCATTCAGCTAAAAAAGTCCCCTGAACCCTTAAATTCTACAGTAGACCCTAAACCCTTGCTCGGGGCCCAAAATTCCAACTTTAGTTCCGCCATACGTTCCCGCGCGGCAGTGCATGAAGGATCCAAAAAATCACAAATCACTAAAGTAAGGAATATACCTTGAGGTACGAAGGACTCTTAATGTGATTGAATGTAGGTAGAGAATGTACATTCCTCAATTGAGAGGATCCTTCATATAATTGCAGAGGAGGTATACTTCTCCAGTGGAGGATCCTTGATTGAAGTTGCATTCTGCAATTGAGGGGTTTGGCATTTCTGTGGGTCAGGCACTGAGCGGGCCGCTTTCACAAGGCTGAAATTTCTTTTACTGGGGCAAAACTCTGCTGTATCACTGTGTCTATGCGAACATATACTATACATAGACGTGGACATATTCATATACCGACCGACAGACATGCATACATATGTACATATACAAATATGTGCCTGATGTGTATGTATGCATGTACACATGTGTGTATGTGTGCATGTGTATACATACATATATATATATATGTAGAGCAAGAACGAGAGAGAGAGAGAGAGAGAGAGAGAGAGAGAGAGAGAGAGAGAGGGAGAGAGAGAGAGAGAGAGAGAGGGAGAGAGAGAGAGAGAGCGAGCGCGAGATGAGTGCTTCTCTACATCCGGGTCCCTTGTTGAATCTCTCCAGAGAACGGCTTACCTTTCCAAGGGCGCCATGTCGACCGCGATGAAAAAACCTACCAGGATTTGTATACGTTTGTTTGTTTGTTGCTTTTGTGTATGTGTACAAGCATAACTGTGTGTACATACATACACACATATAGATAAACACGCATGTACATAAGCCACACACTAAGATTTCCGTTCCCTGATCCTATCATCTCGCGTTTTTTTGCCAATCCTGCGGCGAGTTCGGGTAGAGCTCAGCACAGGGTATGGGGATTTGTGATAAGAAGGAGCCCTTTGGATGGATCATTAGGGTTTAGGGTTTAGGGTTTGGGGTTTAGGGTTCGGAGTTTAGGGTTTAGGGATTATATTACGAACTTCATAGCTCTTCAATATATATGTTAACGGTCCTTGAATAACAATCCTACTGTAAGAGGGTAGAGCAATCTGCATGCGAGCTTGTTTACGGCAATACAGCGGATAGTTCTCCATGATCCTTGAAACCTCTAACCGTAGACCGTGCCCCTATACTCTCTTACTATTATTACTACTACTCCTCCTCCCCATCCTCCTCCGCCTCCTCCTCCGCTTCCTCCTGCTACTCCGACTCGTACTCCGACTCCTACTCCGACAGCTACTCCTACTCCTGCTCGTCTCAGATGGTGAGGCTCACCTGCATGAGGCTACAGAGCTCCTGCACTTCGGAAAAGCTGCTGATAGGGCTGATGATATAAATCCTGCATTACTTCAAGGACCCTACACTATGGGAATTGTGGCATATTCCTTATAATGGGTAATGCCGGATTTTGTCCATCAACAGTAGGGCCGGGTGTCAAGAAACTCGATAAGCATGTTATTAGGAAAGTTTAGGGGTCGGGGCGAGGGTTCTCGGGTTTAGGGTTAGGGTGGTTTACGGGTTTAGGGTTTAGGGTTTAGGGTTTAGGGGTTTAGGGGTTTAGGGTTTAGGGTTTAGGTAACCCAAATTAGGGTACATGTAACCCCGATTATACATTACGAGCTACTTACTGTGTACCTTGATCCTTCAGTCTGGGCCGGGTAGTCCGCAAGCAGGGGATGCTTTGATGGGTTTAGGATTTATGTTTGTGGGCTGGTTTTAGGAGTTTGGGCAGACCGGAGCGTTAAAGTTTAAGGGGTTTAGGGACGAGCCGGGCTCCTTACTTGAAAAATCAGAGGAAAAGTTAGTAAGCTTCCCTTCAAGGTTGCCTTGACTTGGTACTACGTGGTTCGGTTTCAGGGCTTAGGGCTTTGCAGTAGCTGCAGTACTTGCTAAGCCGCCCCCCCCCCCATCAGCAAATACGGTCCAGGTACAGAAACTTGGGTGTACTTTGTGGGGCCCCGTATCAACCGTAAACCCCAAACCCCTAAACCCTAAACCCCTAAACCCTAAACCGTTCATTGCTCCCAAAACCTTTCTCTACCTGTTGCGGTCACCTCAGAGTTGAGGTTTCTTGTCTGTTGTTGCTCTACGGTGCTTGTTTGAAGGGGCTGTAGGGTTTAGGGGTCAGGATTTTGGGGTCAGGGTTTTGGGGCTCGAGCTTCGGAATAGCGTTTAGGGTGGCTGTTGCTACGGTTGATGATAGAAACCCTGCATGACCCATAAGAGGAATATACCATAGTTCCCACAGTTTAGGGTCCTTAAGGTAATGCAGGGTTTCTATCATCAACAGTACGTCGCTCAAGTTTTCACTTGCTCCGAAAGCTAAGGAAGAAGAGCACGAGCAGCAAAAGCCGGGTCCTGCTGGTCGTCCAGTGGTCTCGCCTGCGCCTCAAAGAGAACGTACTCCTGCAGCTCCTGGCCACTAAACCCTTAAGGGTTTAGGGTCTAGGGGTTTAGGGTTCAGCGTTTAGGGTTTCTGAACCGCAGCCATTAACCTTTAACCCCTGAACCTAAATGCCGAATAAACCCTCGCCCGAATCAAAGCCCTGACAACTCACAGTGAGTATAGGCTTTTCTAGGTTAAAGCCTCTAAGCCCTTGAAAAATATTCGTAAACAAGATCCTCTTAAGCCCCATAATGGGACATATGAGATGTCCGAAAGGCCTACCTAGTTTTCCCTGTTAAACTACTACTACGCCCTGGAGCAGGTCTGGCGGAGCCTGGAGGCTTCGTAAGATCCACCTAAAAAGGGTGCCCTCTTTGGTTTCAAGGGGGTTGTAAGGGAAGCTGACCTGGGAATTAATGTAGGAACCTGATTAAGAAACCTTGGGCCTTACTGGGGTTCCTACTATTTTGGGGTTGTAGGCCCAGGGCTTCTTAATCAGGTTCCTACATTACCTGTCTAGAGTTTAGAGATCCGAGACTGGTCATATTAGGAGTTAGGATTGCGGGGACCGCTAGGGATATCGACTCTCTCGAGAATGTTTTCTGTAAGAAAGCCAGAAGTAGGGTCAAGAAGGGTCCCCTTTAAGGGGTCTCCTTAATACTACCTAGGACATATAATCACACGACGGAGTTGGTGTTGCAAACAGCCTGCTTGCAAAAACGCCCTGCAACCCCTCTGAAAATCTTTACAACCGTGATAAACCCTAATTACGCGACCTCATTTCACCATATGCGTGGTTGTCAATATTCGGGTCCCTTTTTGGATCCTTCTTCTAATACGGCACCTAATATTTAGGGTACCCAGAAAGGACCCTAATTTTGACAACCACCCATATAAAACCCAATAAAGGCCGACAGAGCACGGGATGTGGTCCGTCCAGGGTAAGGCGAGGCATCTCAGACTGGAACTAAGCTCTGCAAACGAGGCGAGGCAGCACATGCATGTAGGGGCCTTGATAATTAGAATGGGGCTTGTAGGTATTTTATACTATAATTTGTAAAAAGGAAGGGCATACCATACTATGATTAAAATAAGGTTGGTCTCAAAGCAAAAATTCTTATGAATCATCCCTTGTCTGAAAAATGGCCGATTCCGAGATTCAGAAGGAAAGGCATTCCTATCCCTTGGATTCAACAGATTCGTACTCTCAAGGATGATATTGCCAATAATCGCGCTACTGAAAAGATTAGTTGCATCACACAGATTGCTCTTGACAGATGGGTTACTATGTCTTCTGATGAAATCCGAAACGCGCTACCGACCAAGCCTGGTCCAATCAAAAGGTTCAAAGCCGCCAAAAACCGCATTGCAAGATTTAAGGACGTTCTTGAGAGATTCAAACAAAACTTGATTCTTGGAAATGAATTTCACACGCACCTTCTTGAGCCGGTTTGGGCGCCAGTCGAAGTTTGCGCTTGCTGCAGTAAGACTCTTAACTTTTCTGCTGAGCCGCGTAACATCACTCGAAGATGTTACAGTACAGTCCATTTTTCTGTACAGATGCTCGACAACTGGTCATTAAAATATGATTCCATGTTGCGAGACATTGAAGGCATACTGAACAAACTAGCTTAGCTTGTGGTAGCTCATAAGCAGCTACGCTTTCCAAGGATGCAATAGACATCTTCAGCTTTGTTCGCCTCAGACGCATGTCCGATCCGGCCCAAAACCCTATTCTAGTTATTAAGGCCCCATTAACTCCACGGCCTGTGGTGGGCACAAGCTGAACCGGCTAGGGAGGTTTAGGGTTTAGGGCTCAGGCTTTAGGGTACGCTGTCCGCTGACAGGTCCTTGGCGGTGGATTGTCTGGCTGAGCCGAAGTTAGCATCCTGATTTCCGCCAACGGTGAGCTCCGCTCCTGCAATCTGGCATCCAGCTCAGCTGTCTGGTCAAGTCTGGCCACCATTCGGGCGCAGGGGTAAACCCGCCGGGGTTTCCGTCAAGCTTCCGAAATTTGGAAAGTTCTTGATTGCGAGCCGCCCAGCACGAGCAAGCTCATATGAAGCTTCATATGCCTTCTGGCACGTTGCGGCGTACATCTCCTCTTGGCTGCTGGCTGCCCAGGAGAGGCGGTAGCGGTAGGTGTTGTTGCCCTGCAACAGTCATGTCCTAACATGTTTTAGCACAGTAACAACATGGGCTGCAAGAGTCGTCCTGCAGGCATGCAAGCGGAGACAACCAATCATAGCCTACCAGCTCGATCACACAAGTGACTTGTCGGTTGCTTGCCTGTCTTGGCAAGGCTCCATTGATAGTCTCCTTGACGATGGACTCGCCACCGGTTTGCTGGCGAAGAAGTGTCAGTCGCCCACGACTCGAAAACCCTGAATCCGAGGCCCTAGCAGAAGCCGTGTAGAACCCTTCTAGAAGCCTTCTAGAACCTTCAATCCTAGCCTAAAAACCCGTTAAAGGAACCCCCCAAAGGAACCCTTCCAGGCATCCTGTTAGGCTTCCTTTTAAGGGGATCCTTTGAGGGTTCCTTTAGGGTTTAGGGTTTAGGGTTTAGGGTTTACCTTTCAGTGGCTCCCAAGCCCCTCTCCTCGTCCGCTGCTAAGGCCGCGTGGATGCCATCGGCTGCGATGGGCCGGACCTCGCCGTCTGACATGATGGGCGGCCACAAGGGGGGGGTTTAGGATTCTTGGGGGTAGGGATTCCTTAATATGAACCCTATATTATGGGAACCCTAATCCCTATTATGGGAACTCTAGTCCCTGCTAAACCCCCATAGGCTAAAACCTCTTTTGGCCTCTTATGATGACAATTTGTTGCAAGGGTTTCGGGTTTAGGGCTTCGGGTTTAGGGGGTTTAGGCTAAGTTTGCGTAAAATTGCAATGACACTCCTTTCTCCAAAGCTAAGTTTAGGGTTTAGGGTTTAGGGGTTAAGGCTTAGTAAGGGTTATAGGGTTTAGGGTTAAGGGTTTCGGGTATGGGGCTTAGGGTCTTTCAGGGCGTTTAGAAGTCTTGCTAAAGGCTCTGTAACGGTGTGTTAGGCAGAACCTGTAAGGATTTCACAGGGTTTTAGGGTCTAGGTTATGCAAAGAAGCAATGTTCTCCCAAGGTTCTTGAAGGGGTTCTGCATTTTTGATCTATGATAGCGGACCTTTTCTACGGTTTAGGGTTTAGGCTTTTGGGTTCAGGGCTTTGAGCTGTCTTAGGATTTGGGTTCCGGACGTCGGCCCCGAAGCCCTGAACCCCTGATGCCTGATCCCTTAATGGGGGTTCCTATAAGATACCCTTAGTAGTATAGTGCCCCAAATTAGGCGATCTACTTTCTAGATCCTCGCGGGGGTCTGGGTAGCCTTACCTTTGGCTAGTAGGGAATGGAGGAATGGGGTACAATTATAACTACTATTACCACCATTCTTCCATTCCCTACTAACCAAAGGTAAGTGATCGGCCCGACTTTGTTGTGGGGAGTTCGGGGTTTGGGATTTAGGACCCTCAAGATCGGTGCTTTCTGTCTCGCTTATGTTGGGTGCCATGCCACACTTCGAGAAGTGTTGATGTATGGGCCGCCCTAAACCGCACCCCCTTTTCGTTGTATCTACCACTTCTACCAGTTCTTAATGTAGGTGCCTCGTCAAGCAACACCATCTGAGCCATGATCATAGAAACTCTGCCTAAACCCTAAACCCTAAACCATTAACCCCAAACCCCTGAACCCTAATCCCAAGGTTCCTTGAATCCGGTTTCCTGCGTTTCGCTTAGCATGACGTTCAGGGTTTGGGTGTTTAAGGGGTTTGCGTTTCAGGATCTGGGGCTTGTAGGATTCAGGTTTCAGGGCTTACGCTTCAGGTTAGGTTGTACGGTTGGTATCGGGCCAAGTAAAAAAGCAATTCCAACAACCCAACGCGGGTTTGCGGTATATGTCAGAATATAGTTGCAATTGTGAGCGGTAAGGAATACTATTCCTATGTATGTAGGCTTCCATAGCACCCTGAGCCTCAGAGAGAGTAGCCGAAAACAAGGAACTGAAGAGATTGTGAGGTATATCAAACGAGACGATGAGAGCTAACAGTATAGGGTTTAGGGTTTACGGATTACTGTTTAGGGTTTGCGGCCTCCCTAAACCCTAAACCATCCTAAACCCCCTACCCTAAACCCTAAACCCTAAACCCTCTACCCCAAACCTTAAACCGTAAACCCTATGCCCCATACCCTAAACCCCATTATCAACCCTAAACCCTCTACCCTAGACCCTAAACCCTATGCCCCATACCCTAAACCCCACTATCAACCCTAAACCCTAAACTCTCTACCCTAGACCCTAAACCCCATTATCAACCCTAGACCCTAAACTCAACAATTCATAACAGATGGGGAGCCCCGGGCCCCCCCACCGAGAGGGTCTCCATGCCGGCGGCCAGGAGGGCTTGGCCGAAGCAGTCCTTGTCCTTCTAGGCTTCCTTTAAGGGCTCTATAAGGGTTCCTTCGAGGGATCCTTTAAGGGCTCTATAAGGGTTCCTTCGAGGGATCTATAAGGATCCTATTAAGTTTTTAGGTTTCGGGTTTCTCCTTCCCAGAGAGCCCAATACACCCCTTAATTAAAGGCTAGGGGTTCCTAAAAGGGCTCCTTACAGGGATCTACAAGGGGGTCTACAAGGGAATTAAGGAATCTGCCTTAAATTATAAGGGGCTTCATGTTATGGTTTAAGCCATATTCCTGGATTAAGCGGTATTGGGCTCTCTGGGTTCCTGCTTTTTTGGTTTAGAGGGCTTGGGGCTGAAAGGAGTAGGGCTTTTTGGGTTGAAGGCTTCGTGGGTTGAGGGTGTAGGGTTTAGGGCTTAGGGGTTAGGGTTTAGGGTTTAGGGTTTTCGGTTTAGGGCTTTGGGGCTTAAAGGGCGTAGGGCAGAGGCAGGGTCGATGGTTCGGGGTTGAGGGTTCAGAATTTAGGGGCGCGGGTTTAGGGTTTAGGATTGGGGCTTTGGGGTTTAAGCCTCAAAGCTTTGCTTGGGTGGGCTTCAGGCCCCTGTACAAGAAATGCCGACAGGCGGTCCATGCCCGGGCGGTAGTGCAACGGCATCAGCAGAAGCGCCGACCCTTGTGCCGGAGGTTGCGATTCAAGAGCTGAGGCTTTGCAATTGAAAGCTCCAGATTTTTGAGTCTGAAGATGAGGGCTTGAGTGCTTAGGCAGCTTTCGGGGGTCGAGGTCTCAGGTCTTGGGAGCTTAGCGTTTAGGGTGTCAGGTTCGAGGTTTAGGCCGGAAGAGTATAGGTGGGCTGCGCAAATTTAGCGGTCCCGGTCTTTGGTTTAGGGTTTAAGGTACAGGGTTTAGGGTTTAGAGTTTCGGGTTTAGGGTTGAGTTTGCAACACACCTCTCGCAATGCTCGGATGCCGTGCAGCGAATCAAAGTCAAGCAAACCTTTCAACCTTCATGTATGTCGCTAGTCTATGTCTATTGGCTATGTGCCCACGCTGTTCTTCAACGGCCATAACATGTGGATCCTCCCCATCATTCCTTTTAAGCTTTGCCCCAAGCCGTAGACCCTGAACCCTCAAACCCAAGGCGCCCCAACCCAAAATTGACTACACCCTGGCACCCCCAGACGACAAACCCTGAAACCCTAAACCTGTAAACCCCTCAGACCTATAGTGAACCCCAGAAAGTTGGAACATAGATTTCGGATGATTCATGCTGGGATTCCCTGTACTTTACTCTAAGGGCATGAGGCTAATGATGTTCCAACTTTCTGACTTCTACTGTACGTCCCTGAACCTCCTAAACCGTTCAGCGCAGCAAGACCGAGCAGCCGCCGTTGGGCAGCGAAGCGCGGATCGCCTGCGCTACCTCCTGCTGCGAGACAGCGCCGTAGAGGATGTCAGCTGCAATAACGACCTGAGGTCGAGCTTCGTGAATAAGGCATAAGTAAGGACATATTTAAGTATGTAAGGTGTAGGCAATAAGGATATTTTACGCATGACCCCAAATAGAACCGACTCACTGCGTCCCCGAAATCCTCAAACCCAAACTGAAAATCCTTGATCCTTAAACTTACAGCTATCCCAAAACACCCTCTAAACCCTGCAGCCTAGACCCATGTCATGCCGCCCCAGCGTCGGTGGCACTGCAAGACAGCGCAAGGCTGCGGACCGCCTCGATGTTGCGGAGGTCAAGCAACTCCACCTGAAGTAGGGTTCTACAGGGTATACGGGTTGGTTTAAAGGGATCCTAAAAAGGGTTTTGCCTTTAGGGGTTGGGGTTTACTAGACGATTCAAAGGACTAAGCTTCATAGGCGTTCAGAAGGCTTTACTCGGGTTTGAAGATGCAGTGGAAAGGCTTCATTAGCGTCTTTACAGGGTTCTGGAAAGAGCTGGGCTTCCATTCGAGTTATGGTGCGTGTGTAGGCTCCTTATATAAGCTTCGGCAAGTGTGTAGCATGCGTCTGTGTCCCTTTGGGGAGACTAGGAGTAGAAGTCCTACTATAGTTTAGGAAATCTGGTGCTTTGTAGCTTCAGGACCCAGGGCATGTGTGGCTTGATGATTTGAAGGCTGATGTAAGGGAGTTCTGAAATGGAATATGCAACTGTTTGATTAAAACCACCTCGAAATTCAAGCTGTGGCCCGAAGAATAACGGTTTTTGGTTTCGGGTGTATGGTTTAGGAGTTCAGGGGTTTAGGGGTTAGGGTGTAGGGTTTAGGGTTTAGGGGTTTAGGGTTTAGGGTTTGAGGGCTTAGGGGTTTAAGGTTTGGTTGACTCGAGGTTTGGTGGATTCTGTATGTTTTAATATGCCCTAAGGAATACTGCTAATTACTCAGGCCCTACATTTCCCATGAAGATCCACCTCAGGGGTCAGTCCAGAAGCCACAAACACTCGCAGCAGGTTGTAGGGTTTCGGATTTGGGGATGAGCGAACCTCAAAGGGGAAAAGGAGGGACCCTTAATGGGGACCCCTACCCTATAATGGGCTATATAATGGGTATATCATAGCTGTATTAAGGGTAGATACCTAGGGGTCCTTATTAAGGGTCCCTCCTTTTCCCCTTTGAGAACCGTGACACTAAACCCTCAACCACAAGCCCCTGAACCCCTCAAGCCCTAAACCCAAAAACCGAAGCCTAAGCCGCGCAAGCATGTACCTCCAATCATGAACTATGGCTTCTGGCGGTTCTCAAAACCCCCAAACCACAAACTCCAGAAAAAAGAAAAAGAACAGAAACCCTGAATCCCTAAACCCTACAGCCCAAAAATCCGCAAAAGTGCTAAACCCCGCTCCCAGCGAGCGCCAGACCCTGCCGTTGGATGCCGCGCCCCCGGTGTAGCGCAGGTTGAGCGCCTTACGGGTTCCGGGTTTGGGGCTTAACGTTTAGGGCTCAGGGCTACGGGTTTAGGGTTTAGGGTTTAGGGTTTGGGGTTTGGGGTTTAGGGTTTAGGGTTTAGGGTTTAGGGGTTTAGGGGTTTAGGGTTCAGGGTTTAGGGGTTGAGGGTTGAGGGCTTCGGGTTTGGGTTTAAGGGGGTTGCTTTTAGTAGGGTCCTTGAAATCGGGGTTTCTAGGTTGGTGTTTTGCGGGGCCTAGCCCAGGAGCCCTTGTGGAAACCCTCCAAGAAACCCCGTAAGGGGTCTCTATGAGACAGGGTTCTATGCGAGATCAGGGGGTATAGGGGCATCAAGCAAATTAGCCCAGGGTTGCGGGAGAGATATGGACAGATTGTGACATAAATATATTAAGGAACCATAGGGTTCAGGGTCTGGCATTTGGGCATTGGATGTACTGTAAGGTTACAAAGTTGGAGGTGTGTCATAACACTTGTTTAAACCATGCGCATGCCGTGCATGCCGTGCCTGCCTTGCTGATGCTTGGTATTTGGCGAGCGTTGCGTTATTCCAATAGCTTAGTAGCTGAGTGGATACACTTTACACTTTTTGGGATAATACTACCCACTATAAAACTGAAAGTGTACACTTTTTGGGGCTTGTGAACTCCGCAACTGAGATAGGGTTCATTCCTTGTCTATGCCTTACTTTGGTGTATTCCGGTGGGATGTCTGCCTCGTCCCTTTGCCTTGTTTCTTGACCGACTCCAGTATGACCCATATGCTTGTGGAAGCTTTTCCTCATTTTGGTGGAATTTGCTAAGACAAGTTTGGCACAAGCCACACAGAAACTTACCGATCCTGCGAGAAATGGCATAAGTTGTCCGAGACGTCAGCCAATCCCTGGTGAAACACGTCTTCTTCTTAACCGGCTGGATGCAGCTATTATCTTATAGGTGGTGGTCACAATTAGGATCCCTTTTTGGGTACCCTAAATACTAGGTGCCGTATTACATTAAGGACCCAAAACGGGACCCTACGGTTGATGATATAAATCCTGCATGACCTTAAGGACCCTAAACTATGGGAAATATGGTCTATTCCTTATTATGGGTCATGCAGGATTTATATCAGCAACCGTAGTTTTGACAACCACCCTTATGGACTTTTCCACCGGACACCGAAAGCCTAGAGTCGCCTCCATCTCCACCTAGGGTTTAGGGTTTAGGGTTTAGGGTTTAGGGTTTAGGGTTTAGGGACCCTCCAACATCGCTTAATTGACTGTTCCTGATTATACGGTTGATGATATAAATCCTGCATTACCTTAAGGACCCTAAACTATGGAAATTATGGTATATTCCTTATTATGATTCATGCAGGATTTATATCATCAACCGTAGTAGGATCCCGAATATGATTCAAGGTATGTTCCTTGATTAAGGGATATTGGAAGGTCTGGGCAGTTCCTTGAATCCTTTGAATTCCAAAGCTCTGCGGTTTTGCGCTGCCTGATTCCTGAACCCCTAAGCCCTAGGGTTCAACAAGGCCAGTTGGTAAGCAGGTTGTGATCTGGGTCATAAGTATGAGTCGAGTATGGTAAACCTACTTATCATCGTACCTACTACGTCCCTGATCCTTCAAGTAAACCGAGATCCCTGCAAGAAGCCTGCTAGAACGCTTAGAGCCCATGAAGGGGATCCTACTAAAGAACCCCATAGTATCCTGAAAGGGAACCCTACTATAGAACCATTCGTACCCCCACAGGATCCCCCTGACGAACCTTTAGGGTTTAGGGTTCTGGGCACCCTTGTCCTTTTAGAAATAATGGAAAGACAGAGCCCTATACCTATATCCCTTAGTAGGAATTATCTCAGAAGGTCTACTAGCCGGTCTGTTTATTCTTTTGGGGGAACCACTAGACCTAAGAGTAACCTATGAATAAAAAGGGTGCCCTTTTTGGTTTCAAGGGGAGTATAAGGGAACCCAAAGCATAAAAAAGGGAATAAGGGCCTACTCTGGGTCCTGGAAGGACAAGGCTGGTTCTGGGAACCTAGCAGACGGGTTGGCTCGGGTCCCCGGCTGCCGCTTCGAGAACAGTGGGCTCCACGTCGGTGAGAATGCATCCTGGACCGTCCGAGGGAGGGTTATCATGGGGTTCAAGGTTTTTGTTAGGGTTTAGGGTTTAGGCTATAGGGGTTGAGGGTGTAGGGGCTTAGGGTTTTTAGGGTTTAAGCTTTAGGGTTTAGGTTTGGGGATTAGGGCTTAGGGTTTAGGCGTTTCAGGGGTTTTGGTTTAGGGTTTAGGGTCTTACTTGCTGAGTTCTATAAGCCCAGAGAGGTGAACGCTGTCAGTTCTGTACGTGACGAAAGACCCTTCCACTTGAGGGCTCTTGGGTTAAACACTTAGTGTTTAAGGCTTGGCGATCGAAGGTCGTACGACTTAGGGTTCAGAGTTTCTAGGCGGCTTGGGGGGGGCAGAGATTCCAGGCATGATGTCGAGGCGTACAGAAGTACACATTAAACTTCAACCCTAAACTTTGAGTACGGCTCGGAGGAGTTGTAAACCCTAAACCCTAGCCCTAAACCCTAAACCCTGAACCCTAACCCCTAAACCCCTGAACTCCTAAACCCTACACCCTAAACCAAAAACCGTAGGAGTTCTAAACCCCAAGCCCTAATCAAAAACCGACGAGGCCCTAGGAAGAGTCGCAGCGACAGGCACCTGCCGGTCCTGAAGCGAAGCTGGCCGCTGTAATGCCGGCGATGCCCACTCCGCACCTGGTTTAGGGTTTAGGGTTTAGGGCAGGATTATGTTCAGGAACCCTCGGTATATACCCATAATATAGCCATTATATACCCATTATATAGCCCATTATAGGGCAGGGTCGAACCCAAAGGAAGATCATTGGTAATTTCTCGTAAAGGTCCATAGCGAGCCTAAAGCCTCCTGAATCCAAGAGAATGTCACCCCTAAGCTAAGGGCTCAGGGGCTTAGGGGCTCAGGGGTTTAGGGGTTCGGGCTTAGGCTTCAGGGTTTAAGGTCTTTAGGGTTTAGGGTTCAACCGTCAACCTCAAACCACATGATAGAAGCTCAAACAGATAGAACAAGCTGCCAGCATGCAACACTCAAAGGGGAAAAGGAGGGACCCTTAATGGGGACCCTGCCCTATAATGGGCTATATAATGGGTATATAATGGCTATATTATGGGTATATACCGAGGGGTCCTTATTGAGGGTCCCTCCTTTTCCCCTTTGCAACACCATAGCTAAATAGAATATATCGGGGGAGAGCTCATGCTGCACGCCCATACACCAACCGCTTACTTGGAGGGTCGGGGGACTTAGTAAGTAGGTAGTAAGTAGACTTATAAGTACCTTAAAAGGGACCCTAATTGGGGCTATGGTACTTAGAAGTCCCTAAAATAACCAGTTACTAAGTCCCCCGACCCTCCAAGTAACCACTGCCAAAGAAGGCACACCCTGGCGCCCGCAAAAAAAGCCCTAGGCAAGATCCTCCCCTACATCCTTTAAAAACAGGAGGCCCTAAGACCTAACTTTCCAATCCAAATGGTACAGCTTCTGACCTCAAGCCTCGAACCCGTCTGAAACCTCAAGCCCTGAACCCTGAAACTGTGAACGCTGAACTTCCCAAATCCTAAGGTTGAAAAACCCAATGGACATGGTAAATCCGTGAGAAACTCAATCTTCAGGACCGACCGTCGAATCCGAAACCCCAAGGCCTAAGACCCTTCCGAAACATCTATCAACCGAGTCAACAAAAGCCAGGGCGCCCCAGCTCCAGCACCACCTGGCCCGCTAGAGGGCAGCCCAGCAGCTCCCTCGCCTCGGGTTCATGGGACATCGTACAGGGGCCTTGCTGCTGATGGACAAAATCCTGCATGACCCTAAGGACTCTAAACTATGGGAACTATGGTATATTCCTTATAATGGGCAATGCAGGATGTTGTCCATCAACAGTACTGCCCTCAGTCTTGGGGCGTCACTGCATTCAGCAAGGAGGCCTAAGAATGGAAAATTCGAGTCTGCCTAGTTCCGACGATCGGACACATGAAACTCAACTTGTTGAGAAAGACATGTTGGAGCGCAGTTCATAGAGATTTTGCAGCGGTCTGCCTGCTGGCCACCCTATGGCCTCTTTTTTTTTCTTAAGCGCCTTTTTCCCCTCTGTTCGCTGCCGTCCCTGTCGGAAAGCCCTACGGCTGGACGTTCTCTTCCACCAGTTGCGTGTCCAAGTTTGTGAGCTCTGCCATTCTCTGCACTTCAGAAGTTCCCTGGTATTACATCCATACAACCCCTCCACTTCTTCCCAGCAAATCGACCCTGCTTGGCACCGGTGATACAAGGCCTGTTTTGGTTGATTCCTTCCCCGGCTTCCTTGAGGCTGCTCGTGGAACCTTGCCTCAAGCACCCTGAACCCAAGCTAGTAGTGTTCTCTAGATTAGGGTCCCTTTTAATTTTAGGTTACTTTCTGCCAATGGCGCCGTACTATTTTCGGGACCTCAACAGGGACCCCAATTGAGAGAACCACCCATGCGTGAAGACTTCCCGTAAGTTTTCATTGTGGATGGGGCGGGATTGGCTACGGCAGTAGAGCTGTCCGATAAGTATCCATGCCGAGTTTACTGCAAGATAGATCCATCTTCCAGGTTTAGGATTGGTTTAGGTCTGAGGGGCTTAGGGCTTAAGGCTCAGGGTTCTGAATACTTAATCTCAACAGGGCTTTGTGGTAGGCTTGACTATACTCATACCAGGAACCCTGAGGAATAGCATCACTCAGCATTCAAGCTCTATCGCACAGCTTCTAATTCTCAGGGACGCCCCCGCAGCCCTAACCCGCAAACCCCAAACCCTCCACCCTAACCCCTAAATCCAAACCCTACGCAATCCCAAAAAAAAACCCAACCTCACAATAATGCCATGTTCAGAAAGAGAACCCTAGATCCTCCCCCCCCCGGAGCCCAAACCTTAGACTCTAAACCCAAAAACACGCTCAACCGTAAACACAAGTCTAAGCCCTAAACCAAGCTAAACCCTCAACCCAAACCTTATTATAAACCCTAAATCCCAAACCTTAAATGCCAAACCAACATCACCCACAACCCTAAACCCTAACCCACACCCAAAATCACCCTGAACTGAACCCTAAGACCCTAAACCCCTAAACCCCTAAACCCCTAAACCCCCAAACCCTAACCCCTAAGCCCCCAACCCTCCAAGCCCTAAACCCTAAACCCTTAAACCCCTAAACCCTAAACCCTTAAACCCTAAACCCCTAAACCTTAAACCCTAAACCCTAAACCCTAAGCCCCCAAAACCCCTAAACCCTAAACCCTAAGCCCCCAAAAGCCCTAAACTTTGGCCACCCCCAAAAAGGGACCCCAGGGGCCCCCTGGCCCCTAACCCCCCTGGCCCCTCTGGCCTTTGGCACTCCCTGTGGGCCCTGACTTCCTGGCCTCTCCCTGGCCCCGGCCCCCCTGGCCCCCTCTGGCCCACCTCCTGCCGTTCTCTGCCCTCCTCTGCCCTGCTTTTTTTAAGCAGAAGCTTGGCTGCAGAATTATGTGGTTGTTGTTAACCAACATGGACCTGACAGAGTTTAGGTCCTAAACCCTAAAAGGTATAGGTTTGGGTGGTTTGCCGCCTCCGACGGTGTGGGGTGGGTGAGTTATGTGATGGCCCGCCACAGTCGGGCCATGGCTGCGATTCGCAGGCAACAAAACCGCTAATAAATCCTACAATCCCTGTTACACTACCGCTACGCAATCTTGCAGCAAACCCCAAACCCTAAACCCTAACCCCGAACCCAAAAAACACGCGGGCCGAGGCTCCCGGCTAGGAGCAGCTCCGAGGCCCAAAGGCGCCCCCCAGTCTGCAGGGAGCGGCCGTGGACCGAGTCCTCTTGGCTGCTTTGGGGTTTAGGGGTTTAGGGGTTTAGGATTTAGGGTTTAGGGTTTAGGGTTTAGGGGTTTAGGGTTTAGGGGTTTAAGGGGATCTTTAAGGATTTTTAAGGATTTCTATTGAAAATAAGCTTCTATAAGGGGTTCTTTTAAGGTGTTCAAGGGTTTCTATTGAAAATAAGCTTCTATAAGGGTTTCTTTTAAGGTGTTCTACGGAAAAGCAAGTTTCTATAAGGGTTTCTTGAAGGATTCTTCAAGAGCCTTTACGGACTTCTATAAGGGTGTCGATATGGGTAGTTGTCAAAATTATGGTTCCTTTTTGGGTACCCTAAATATTAGGTGCCGTACTATATTAGGGACCCAAAAAGGGACCCTAATTAATTTTGACAGCCACCCCTCTGGGTTCGTTAAGAAGGGTTTGGAGTTTAGGTTTAAGGCCTTGGGGTCTAGGGGTTTCCTTCAGGATTTCTGCAATGGTTTCTGTAAGGGTTTCCATACGGGCGTCTATAAGGGTTTCTGTAAAGGTTTCTGCAAGGATTTCTTTCGGGGTTTCGATAAGGGTTCTAAAGGATTCTATGAGGGTTGCGTGAAGTTTGCTTTAAGGCTTGAGGGTTGAAGGCTAGGCTGTTCTTGCTTTCTTGTGTTGTGCTACTTCTTGGCTTCCGGTTCGCATTCAGCTCAATTGTTACCGCAAAAACCTGAACCGCAAACCCTACACAACACCTAAACCCTAAACTCTAAGCCCTAAACCCTGAACTGGAGGCTCGTCCAACTCGCAGCTTGTTAACATATGAACGATTCCCTGAATCTTGAACCTTAAACCGTAGTTGTACGAACCCTGAAACCCCAAACAAACAAACAAACCTGAGCAACGGTTAAGGTTTAAAGGTGCAGGGTTTAAGCTTTAGGGGTACTCCTAACCCTCGACCTTACTCCCGTAATCCTAAACCCCCTTAATGCCTTAAAGAGCATTTATAGATCGCTCTTAGAACCTCTAAAGCTGAAACACACCTGCACGGCATCCCCCACGCAGCCGTAAGCGGCCACACGCAGCGCGGCCGGGGGCGGCGCGCCTGAGAGACTTTTCGCTGAGCTACGAACGGAGCGCGAGGTGCAAGGGATCCTACGACGGTTCTCTGGGGCTTTCATCAAGGCTCCATCAGGGTTCTACAGGGGTTCCAGAACGGGTTCTATGTGGGTTTTGGGTGTTTGAAAGCTTTTATACGGTGCCTGTGGTTTGAGGGTCATAGGGTTTCGGGTCTCGAATCCGTGCAGAAATGCGAGAAAAAATCCAGAAAGGAACGAACCGAACGGAACCGACGTGACCCCAAACTCGAAACCCTGAACGCAACATAAAAACAACAGAAAGCTTAACCCTGGCAACCTTCACAAAGCCGCCACTCAGCGACTCAACCCACAACTGCCCGACACCTACTTGGAGCGTCCAAAAAACTTCGAAAGTAGGCAACAGGTAGACGGAGACGTACAAGTGCTCTAAAACGGATCCTTATTGACGTTATGCTACTTATAAGTCCTGCAAACAACTACTTACCAAGTCCTCCGACCCTAAACCCCAACCCCTAAACCCCTAAACTCCCAAAAAGCCTGAACTCTTCACCCTAAACCCGAAACCTAAACCCTAAACCTCAACCCTAAACCTAAACCCTACATCTGCTTGGGTAGTCGGGGGCCTCCGGCAGGCACAGCACAAGGCTCTGTGGAAAAACCTCAAAGCGCTTTAGGGTTTTTAGGGTTTTTAGGGTGTTTAGGGTGTTTAGGGTTTAGGGGTTTAGGGGCTTTAGGGGCTTTAGGGTTTTTATGGTTTTTACGTAGGGTTTTTAGGGTTTTTAGGGTTTATAGGGTTTTTAGGGTTTAAGGGCTTTAGGGGCTTTAGGGGCTTTAGGGGTCAGGGGTTTAGGGCTTAGGGGCTTTAGGGGTTTAGGGTTTGCGTTTAAAGTTGAGGGGGCTTAGGGTTTAAGGCCTAGGGCTTGGGATTTAGGGTGCAGACTTTAGGGTAAAGAGTTGAAGGCTTTTAAAATTTATAGCTTAGAGTTTGGGATGGAAGGTTTAGAGTTTAGGGTTCGTGGGTGTTTCGTCGGGGGCGTCAGGGTTTAAGGATGTTGATGAGTGTGGCCAGAGGCATCGAGATATTCACAACCATCAGCCTTTCCATTGACTTGTACTTGGAGGGTCGGGGGACTTAGTAAGTAGGCAGTTTGTAGACTTATAAGTACCCTAAAATGGGATCCTAGTTTGGGTTCCTAATTTTTGTTTACAGAACTTGTGAGTCATAAAAATTACTACTTACAAAGTCCCCCTACACCCTACACCCTAAACCCTAAACCCTAAACCCTCCAAGTGCTGTAAGAGTCTGAAGCTCTCCAGCCTGGCACGCAAGGCCCAATCCTAAAACCCTGCAGCTCCAAACCCTGCGCCTCGACCTCCCTTTAAACTCTAACTGCCGCCCCCCCGCCCCCCAAAAAAAACTGAACCCAAAACCCAAAGAAAAAACAGAACGCAAAGGTGACACCCAGAAGCCCTGATGCCCTAAACCTACCCCCTGGAAAGCAACCCGGCAAAAAGTCAAACCTCTAAAGCCTCTGATTACAATGGTGTGCATCGGTCTGGTGGGAGGAGGTGGAGGTGGAGGCGAACGAGTAGGAGTAGGACAAGAACATGGTGATGGCGATGACGATGCTGTTCATTATCTATATTGAACTTAGAACCCTCGCAAAAATTGAAATTTTAGCTGTTTCTTAGGGATTATAATAACCAAAGATTAAAAATCATTTCTAAGTACCCCTAAGTTATGCGCGAAGCAGATCAAGTGAGGAGCGAATCACGTAGTGTGCGCCGCAGAAGCCCATCCACGACTCGTCCTCATCGCGCTCATGAGCTCAAGCCCAAAACTTACCCTTAAACATAAACCCCAAACCCAAAGCCGTGTGTTGCTTAGAGTTCATTGGCGTTTCTGGGTAAACGTCTACGAACGTTCTGGGTTTGCTAGTGGGGCGAGCAAGCGTAAGCAGAAGGATCTCAAATAACAGGCTTGCGGAGATGCGTACCCTCTCTGGGGACACCGTACTTATAACCATAATCATAGCCTATTTTCCTAAACAGGCTTTAGGGTTCAACCCTACTTATAGCCTTGTTTCCTAAGTCGCCTGACCTTTATGTAGGATCCTCGTGCGATCTGCATTGCGGGGGCCCTTATTTAAAGTGCAGGCGTGAAATATCCGATTGTTCATGCAATAAAGAGGCTCTGATGTGCCTTAATGCGCGCAATTTGCGGACGAGTCAGACCTCTGCAGCTCTCGAGCTTTCACCACCCCACACCCCCCAACGAAAAGAAGCCAAAGAAGGAAAATAAGCAGAGCGCAACAGCGTGGGCTGAGGGCCAAGTGCCTAGGCCTCGAGCCCCTTCTCACAGTCTCTTCAGTAGAAGCCTTCCGCGCTCTTCTCTTTAAGGTTCAGGGTTAAACCTATGGTGGAGCTAGAGAGTTGAGCTTGGAGGATCGGGGGACTTGGTATAAGTGGGTACAAACTGATGAGCAAAACCCCAAACCCTAAACCCTTTATAGGATCCCTTTAAAGAAGCCCTCCTGGGATCCCTTTGAAAGGAACCCTAAACCCCAAAATCTTGGGCCTCATGTTCAAAGTCATGGCGATCGGGGCGGTCACCCACCGTAGCGAGGCTGAAATGGCAAGCGGCCTCTGCATGCCTGGGCGGTCTTGTGGGCGATACTTGGAGGTTTCCGGCGGGACTTAGTAGAGTTTCGGGGTGGGGGTTTAGGCTTTAGGGTTTACCATACGGGTTTAGGTTTTAGAGTTTACTCGGAGAGTCGGGGGACTTGGTAACTCGGGCTCCTTAAAGGGATCCTGAAAGGGCTCTGTAAGGGTTCTATGATGGAGATGATGGAGATGATGGAGAGCCGGAGTTGTGTGTGTTTTAGAGATCCTACAAAGGGCTTAGCCTTTAGGGGCTTAGGGGTTTGGGGTTTAAGGTTTACTTGGAGGGTCGGGGGGACTTCGTAAGTAGGTCATAAGACGAGCTATAGGTACCCTGAACGGGATCCTAATTGGGGTTATGGTACTTGCAAACCTCCAAAATAACTAGCTACTAAGTCTCCCGACCCTAAACCCTGAACCCCTAAACCCTAAACCCCTAAAGGCTATATAATTTTTTTGTAGGATCCCTTTAGACTACCCATTGTAGAACCCTTATAGATCCCTTGAAGGATCTCTTTAAGGAGCCCAAGCTCTGCACTAAGTCCCCCGACCCTCCAAGTAAAGGGCTCTTTTCAGGGCTTGCTATACGGGTGTTGTGAAGGTTCTATGCTGTCGGGGCCGCCGTTGATAGTTAGAGCATGGCTTTGGGGATATATTTCCCCACAACGGCAACAAGGAGCGCCGCAGAAAAAGCATATCAACTATTTTGGCACCAGTGTATGTATGTATGTATATATATATATGTATATGTATATATAGTCATATCGATCTATCTATCGATCTATCTATCTATCTGCCTATCTATCTGTCTACATGACTATGTATTTGCTTGCTTACATCTAAGTACGATTATAAGTTTGAGGGTTGAAGGTTCTTGTCGTCGAATCTTGTTTACACCGCTTAGAAGAACTCTTACGAGCGTACTTATAAGGTCGATGGTGTACCACAGCGCATTCTGTAGATTGACAGAAACGGCTCGATCGTACGACGCAGTAAACCCCTGATTAGGAAAGCCCTTCCCATGACTATCATAAGCCATGGACTATCATAACAATCCTCATACCAACTGTTATTAGTCAAGGTCTACATTGAACCGCAAGTGCGAGATGTCGGGAAAGACTCCAAACCCCGTCAATGAAGCCCTAGGGTTTAGGGCTTGGGGTCCTTAACATGGTTCAAGGTTATTAGACCAAGGGTTTGCGACTTACGAAGATTACGAATTAGGGCTGCAGTTGGGGTTTAGGGGTTGCAATCAGTTGAGTGGTCGGCGTTTTCGAGGGAGTGGCCGGGGCGTTCCCTTCTCGCAGACAAGCTTAGGCAAGAAAGAGAGGCCTGAGGCCAAAAGGGTGGTTTAAGATTCTTGGGGTAGGGATTCCTTCATGTGAACCCTTTTTTGGGAACCCTCATCCCTACCATAGGCTAAAACCCCTTTTGGCCTCCTATGAGTCACAAGCAAGAATCGGATTTGCGGGTGAAAGCCCCCCTGAGGTCCTCTTACTTCTCCTTCCTTAAGATAGGGGGCCTTTAACAATTAGAGTAGGGGTTTGGGGCCCATTAGACTATAATCATCATAACAAGAAACCCCCACAAATAGTATTGGTAATAACTAGACCCCTAAATTATTCGCTTTCAAACGCGCAAACTCTACCCGAGGCGGAAAACCAACAGACACCAAGGGGCGCGGCTGCCACGGCCGCCTCCTCGGGCGGAAGCCCAGTCTTGCCCAGATACCAGAGTAGATGCAAGTGATTTCGGAAGACCTGCGGCAATGTGGGATTGAAATCCTGGGTTTAGCATGTATAGAGTTTCAGCATAGTTTCGGTATGTTTCGGTTTTTGGGTTGAAGGTGCAGGGCGGCCAAAAAGCACGCCGAAACTTGCCCCCAAAAAGTACAAAAGCTCAAGAAACAAGCCCGCTAAGCCCTAACTGCTGGACCACAAACCCGAAAATATCCAAGCCCTAGCCCTAAGAGCCCAAGTACCTAATTATCACATACTCTCCAAAATAGTAACCTACATAACTGCTATCCTAAGCCCGAGTATCTAATCATTGTGTAGGGTAGGTTGGCCTTTAAAACCCCAACGATATCCATAGAAAGGATACTCTCGGGCCCCATCAGGGGAATGGCCCAGGGCCCCGCAGCACAAGTCAAGTTGACCACGTGGGTAGTTCTCAAAATTAAGGTCCTCCCTTTAGGATCCTTTTTACAGTGCTACAAGGGTGCCGTCCCATTTTTGCGGGGACCTAAACAGAGATTCTAATTCAGAGAGCTACACATCGGCCTCAAACCCTAACTCTGCGGAAGGAACCAGGCACCTCCGCACCGATTTCCGGGAAGAGCTCGATGAGAAAGACCACCAGACTCAAGATCTCGGGCACCTCATTTGGGGTTTGGGGTTTAGCGTTTTAGGCTTAGGGTAAAAAGGTTTAGGGTTTAGGGGTTAGGGATGTTGACATGGCGAGTTTGGGGGTTTTAAGCTTTAGGATTTAGAGTTTAAATTTGACTGTGTAGGGTTTAGTGCTTTTTGTGGTATTTCCTTGGAAAGCTAAGGGATTTAGCAAAACGTTAATCAGGCGTACCCTCATCACGCAATACAACTAGCACCGTTCTCAAGCAACAGATTGGGTTCGGGGCAACATAAGCAATTCAACATCCCAAAATAGTACGGCACCCTTTCAAAAAAGGACCCTAAACGGGACTCTAACTCGGAGAACTACCCAGATGATCAAGCATCAGCCCGGGGCCCTAAACCCTCAAACCTACGCCGCTGAACTGAGCCCCTGAACCTTCCAACCCTACGCACAGTTCTCCCTTAATGAGAAAATAAGAAGGCAACAAGAACAAGAGCAATATCACATGAAACAAACATAGAAGTACAGTTCTGATTTAGTCGCGTTCGTAATAAAGAAAATTTGATAATGCCAACGGTAATATGACGACAAACCGGTCGTGAAGCAACAAGACCAGTCAACGCACACATGTATAGCAACCGTGTTCCTATGTGACGAAACGAGCACTAATCAGATTAATAACGGTAACCGAAACTAGAACATGTTTAAACGCGGCAATAACAACAAGAAGACCCTAAACCCTAATTATACCATGAACCCTACATCCTAAATCCTAAATAAACCCTAAACCCTGCACCTTGCACCCTGAACCAGAACATGAAGCAATGAAGTCTGGCTGTCCGAGAGGCGCGCTCCCTTTGGGAGATGCCTAGGCGGAAGAGCCGTGGCACTAGCCCCACCTTGCTTGACGGGTCGGGAGACTTAGCAAGTAGCTATTCAGGGTTTAGGGTTTAGGCGTTAAAGACTTTCTAGACGTATATAAGTATCAGAGCCTCAATCAGGATCCCTTTCAGGGTACTTGAAAGTCTACTTGTTAACTACTTAGGAAAGTTCCCGTCCCTCCTCGTTGCCTTCAAGCTTCCTTAGGACCCACATCATGTTCTGCCAGGGTTCGGCTTTGGGCTTTTCATGTTTCAGGCAACAAAGCACATGAGCTTACCAAATGGAGGTATATTTTCACATCTTTTAACAGGTAAAAGGCTGACTCGTCATATCTTTCAGGATGCATCCAAGATCTTAACAGGTAAAAATCTAACTCTTCAGATCTTTCAGGATGTATCAAAGATCTTATGACAGGTAGAAGTCTAATTGGACTCTAATTCTTCAGATATTTCTGGATACATCAAAGATCTTGTAACAAATAGAAATCTAGTTCTTCAGATCTTTCTGGATGCATGAGATCTTATATAACAGGTCAAAGTCAGATTCTTCAGATCTTTCTGGATGCATTATGGCATAAGATCTTATAACAGGCAAACGTCTAGTCCTTCAGATCTTCCTGCATGCAGAACATCTTAACAGTCCTAGGTCTGATTTTCAGATCTTTATGGATGCATAAAAGGCCTAGCACAACATAACAGTGTTTAAAATCTTTTCGGTTCTCATCCTACCTTGAGAAACAAGCTTGAAGATGTATACAAGGGTTTGTTCGTGGATATACATGTACAGTTCTCTTCTGTGGCCAGTAAGATGGGTTGAAGGCTGAATTCAGGGGCTTGAAGCAGCAAAACACGATTTTGAAGGGGAATGCTGGGGAACAATGTTACTACCACTCACTCCAAAGGAACTATCGAAGTCTAGACAGTTTGGCTGGTTCGGGTCTGAAATCACAGTATCCCCTTATAGCTGTAGCACTCGATAGCTCCAAAGCACCAGTCCACTTGTTAAGGCCTCCTAGAGAATCAGGAAGCTTTGATGTGTATGGCCCATCTCAGGTGCCGGATCGAGTCTCTCCAGAAAACCCTCAACAACAAGGTACCCCTTCTCCTATTCCCCAGCCCAGCTTTCACAAGGAATCCCAAAAAAAAGGCAGTGATAGGAGCCCAGAAACTCCAAAATCCCTTAATTAAGGAATATACCTTAAGTCATAATGGGGACCCTAATATGATTTAAGGTATATTCCTTGAATAAGGGATTTTGGAGTTTTTGGGAAGGATTCCACTGCGGGACTCAGTAAGGCCCGCTGAGACCCTGGGCCACCAAGGCCGCCTGGTCGGCCGCAGGAGTTTGGCCCAGGGTTCAGGATTTAGGGTTTCGGGGTTTAGGGGTTTTAGGGAGGTTTAGGGTTTCGGGATTTAGGGGTTTAGGGTTTAGGGGTATAAGGGGGTAGGGGTTTACGGGGTTTAGGAAGTTTAGGGTTTAGAGTTCAGGGGTTTAGGGGTCTAGGGGTTTAGGGATTTAGGGGCCCCGGAATGCTCGAAGTCTGTCAGATTGAAGACTCCCTTTGCCGCTCTGGCCGAGTCTTTGGAGTGCCCCTGATGCTCGGCGTAGTCGATTTGTAATGTGGACGGCTGCTGGGATGTGTCCAAACCCCAAGCCCAAACCCTAAACCCTTCCAGCAGAACACAAACAGCCAAAAGCCCCAACTCTTAACCCCACATCCCCTCACAGGAACACTGCTCGAACACTTAACGGAAAGATTTTGGAATCCAAAGCCACAAATAAGAAAGTTTCATCCTTAAGCCGAAACCCTAAACCCGGAAGAGTACGCTGAGGACCTGCCGGTTGTTGGGACGTCGCAAACCCTACATGGAAGATTCAGAACAGAAGATGTACCTTATTCTGGGGTCCTTACAATGAGGATCCTACCATTTAGGGTACTATGTTAGGGTCCCGTATGTTCGGAAACCCATAAACAAACCCTGAACCCTAAACCCCCAGGTGCTCTGAGGCGCATCGAAGCGATCAAGACATTCGGCGAGTGCCTCCTTGGGGCTTTGAGGCTGAGAGAAATGCGGTTCATGTTTAGGGTTTGGGGTTTAGGGGCTTAGAGTGAAGGGCTTAGAGGTTGAGGGTTCCGGGTTTGGGGCCTTTGAGGAAATCTAAATTTATTATGGTAGCTTCCTAACAGTAGCAAGAACCCAAGAGAAGGAGCTGGATGTTCGGGCTTTAGGATTGTTCTACAGGGTTTTAGGGTTCAGGGTTTAGGGTTTGGGGCTTTGGGTTTGGATTTTTGGGTTCGGGGTGTTGGGCTCAGGGCTTGTGATGTCGGCTCGGGTTGAAACAAAGGAGCTTGGGATTTGAAGTTTAGGGTGTTAAGGTTTCAGGGTTTGGTTGGGGCTTTTCAGTTCAGAGTTTAGGGTTCGGGGGGAAGGGCTTCAACGCGAAAGGGAGAATGGTTGGGGTTTGGGGTGTAGGGTTTGGAGTTTGGGGTTTGGGGTTTAGGGTTTTCTGGGTTTCGGGTTGTGGGTTTTAGTGACTCTACAAGGCTTTTGAATAATTCGCTAAAGGTTGCTCTGTACGAGTTTAGATTACCAATCCTGGAACGGTCAGGTCTTACGGTTTAGGGCTTAAGGTTTAGGGTTCGGGGCTTTGGGTCTAGAGTTAGGGCTTAGGGACTCCATGAATAAAACCCCGAAGACCCTTAAGCCAATCCTGTACCAGCGCTTAACCGCTACAGTCCCAAAACCCAACACCCAAAGCCTTCAAGTCATGACTGAAAAAACAATCTGGTACGAATGCGTTCCCCCTCTGCCTGGACATTCCCGCTGCTACGCCTCGTGTGGAATTCTTCTTAGCTTGCCGCATTCCAAGAGCCTCGCGGATACCTCGCGTGTGGAATTCCTCCCTAGCTTCGCATTCGAGCATCCCCTCATTTGTGGAATTTCCCGAATTTCTCTTGCACTCATCCAAAAACGATGACCTCCTCGACATGCCTCATAGCTTACTGCACTCCCCATCAGAATACTACTGAACCCTAAACCGTAAACCCCAAAACCCTAAAACCCTACAACCTCAAACCCTAAACCCTAAACCCCTAAACCCTAAACCCCTAAACCCTAAACCGTAAACCCCAAAACCCTAAACCCCAAACCCCGAAGACTCGACTCTCCACCCTAAGCCCTGAAACACGGAAACCCTCCGTGTCTCAGCGGCGGAGTTGGCAGTGAGCTGCGCCTTCTCCACAGCGGAGCGGACCTGTGAATCATATTCGGGATCCTACTATAATATAAGGCATATTCCGGATTTAAGGGATATTGGAGTCTGAGGGGTGTGCTTTCGGGGACTCTGGAAAGTGTAGGAACCTTACTTGGAGGCGGGTCGCCGGACTTAAGAAGTCGGCAAGAAGGGTTTTTTTTGTGTGAAGGCATCCTCCAAAGGATATCATAAGGGCTGTTATGTAAAGGGTTCCTCGGAGGAGTGACTGGTGCAGTTCCCGCCGTCTTTGGCAGAGTGGCCGGCGCATTTGCCGTCGTCTTTGGCGGTGTAACAGGCGCCTGCTTTGGAGGCGTGAGGGGCTGCTGCATGCCACGCGCCGTGGCCACCAGCTTCTGTCGTCTCGCAGAGGCCTGCTCCCGGAAGCGAGCCAACTGTTCCACGTTCTCCTGCATCACATTCTCGTGCGAGCTGGCGGGCATAGTATGGGAACTGATGGTCGGCTTCCAGGTCCCCCAGTTCTCGTCGTCGCTCTCCGAAGCAACCTGTTCCCGGATGCTCTCCACCGCCAGGGGAGCACTCGAAGAAGTCGGCATTGGAGCCGGGGGCCCAATTGGGGCCACTCTCCCTCGCCATGCGTAGGTGCCCTGCTCCACTGGAGAGTCCGGGCTGTCCTGACGAGCCAACGATCGAGCTCCCGACTTGCTATAAGAGGTTTAGGGTTTGGAAGGACGTAGTACGTAGGTACCGTATATAAGACTTCTAAGTAGCCTTCAGAGGATAGGGTACTTGCAAGTCTTCTTAAAACCTACCTTCTACGGTTGAAAATATTCATCCTGCATTCTCTTAAACATGGGAATTATGGTATATTCCTTGTTATGGGTAATGCAGGATTTATATCACTAACCGTAAGTCCAGCGACCCTCCAAGCGAGAATTGTCCTTTTTGTGAAACGCCCCAGTCTGGTAATTGAGAGTTCGGGGGTTTAGAATTACGGGTCAGGCATTTATTGCTTAGGGTTTAGGGTTCCTTAAAGGGATCTATAGGGGCTCTATAAAGGAGCTTAGGGTTTAGGGCTTTTTGGCCTAAGGGGTCTAGGGTTTACGGGTTAGGGATTTAGGGTTTACCGGTTGACGGGTTTATGGGATGTACGGCCTACCGGTGTAGCGCTTCAGGGCTGAGGGATACCATAAGGCAACCCCTGAATTGGCCTTGCATAATCCAAGATCATCGGGTCAAGGATCCTTATCTGAAGTATAGTTAGTATTATGGTCCCCAAAACCCTATTCTCATTCTTAAGGACCCTATTTTGGGGTTGTGCAAGCGGTTGTGGGGCTTGTCGGGTTCAGGCCCGTTCTTAACCCGAAGATGCCTTACGGAATAATGTCGAGGTCTGTTCGTCAGCAGCACAGTGATAACAATTGATGACACTATTCATCCAAATTCTAGCAGCACTACTAGTACTGTCGTCGTAGTGGTAGTACTCGTCGTCGTCGTCGACGCCGTGGTAGTGGTAGGGTAGTAGTAGTAGTAGTAGTAGTAGTAGTAGCAGCAGCAGCAGCAGTAGTAGTAGAAGTAGTAGAAAAGTATCCCCTGACCATCCGTCTATGAGTATGCTACAACGTTTCCGCACCCTGTTCAAATCTCTTGCTTACTTCATGACGGAATGAAGGTCTTGGCGAAAGCAAACTTCTCACCTCAACAAAAGCCTGAAAAGACAAGACTGCAATATCCTGAGCGAAGCCTTATCCGAAGAATCGAACAAAAAGCAGCTAACTTTGAAAAGCAGAACACCAAAAAAATTCAAAACGGGTAACTTGCTAATTGAAAAGAGCGCATGTATTTTTCCTGAAGAAAGAACATGCCCAGCGGCCACGCCGAGACCGCCAGCGGGCCAGGCTTGCTCCGACTCATCGAGGAGTAGGTCGGCGGCGCCGCCTCCAAGGAATTTCCGCTTCAGGTCTTAAGTTTTACAGTTTACTGGAGGGCTTGGGGTGTAGAGTTTAGGGTTGCGGGTGTAGAGTTCAGTATCGCGGGTGCAAAGTTTAAAGTGGTGATCGCTCCCGTTGTTTTGTCTTTTGCGCTCGTGCCGCCTACTTGTTTCTTGCTGTTGCGTGTTACTGTATTTTGTTGCTTGTGTGCGTGTCTTTGTGTTGGAGTTTGCTCTTTCTCTTTGTTAGGGCCTTTGTCCAGCCTTCTCTTCTGACTTCGGAAGTAGCCTGAAAGGGATCTTAGCTAGGGAATGAGAGTTACTCCCTAAGATAACTGCTTACCAAGTCACCCAAAACCCTAAATCCCTAATCTAGGGTATAATGCCTGCTCCCTACAACAACTGCTTACCAGGTCACCCAAAACCCTAAATCCTTAAACCCTGAGCCCATTCGACTTTCTACCTTAGAGGGGATAAGCGCTATGATTTCAGGCATGTTCTGCAACGAGCCCCTATGAAACCCGATAAGCTATGAAGCTCTTATATATTCAAGAATTGGGAGGTTCGGAGTCCAAGAACCTGCCTTTCAAAGCAGCACCCTCACATCCCCAAACGCCCAGCCCCAACCTCAATTTGGGGTTTAGGGTCTCTTCTTGGGGTTCCGGGGGATGAGGATTGTAAATTTTTGGTTTAGGGGCTTGGGGTTTAAAGTTTTAGGCTTTGGGGTGCAAGGATTCTAGAATTTGAGTCTTGAAGTTTCGAGGGTTGGGGTTTTGCTTACCTTTGGTTAGTAGGGAATGGAGGAATGGGGTACAACTATAACTACTATTACTACCATGCTTCCATTCCCTACTAAGCAACGGTAAGTTCCCAAAGAGCCCAATACCCATGGCTTACATTATATAGGGCTTCATATGATGATTTAAGCTATATTCCTTCATTAAAGCATATTGGGCTCTCTGGGTTTGGGGACCGAAGATCCTCCAGGAACTCGAAACTCGCCAAATCCACCTGCCCCGAGCTCCACCAGAAGCACCTCCCGGCAAGCTCCGGAAGTTGGGGAAAGCAGGGAGACTGCGAAGTACGGTTGATGAAATAAATCCTGCATTACCTTAATGACCCTAAACTCTGGGAATTATGGTACATTCCTTTTAGTGGGTCATGCAGGATTTATATCATCAACCGTAGCTTAATGGAGCATGTACCTTACATCAGGGAGGGATCATGTATCTCGAACTCTGCTATACCTTAGCCCTAAAAGAACCTACATTTCTAGGGTTCCTCACTATGGGTTTTCTGCGTCAGAACCCCTTCAAGAGGTAGGCTTCTATAAGTGTTGTGAACCCTTTCGCTCCGCAGTGGGACTTCAAGGTATTCCCAAAGCAAGTGGCGGTTCTAGTGACCCTAACCCCTAAATCCTAAACCCTACATCCTGAACCCTAAACCCCTAAACCCCAACCCCTAATCCCCTAAATCCTAAACCCTAAGTCCTAAACCCCCAAACCCTAAACCCGTACACCCCTAAACCCTAACCCCTAATCCCCTAAATCCTAAACCCTAAGTCCTAAACCCCCAAACCCTAAACCCGTACACCCCTAAACCCTAACCCCTAATCCCCTAAATCCTAAACCCTAAGTCCTAAACCCCCAAACCCTAAACCCGTACACCCCTAAACCCTAACCCCTAATCCCCTAAATCCTAAACCCTAAGTCCTAAACCCCCAACCCTAAACCCGTACACCCCTAAACCCTAACCCCTAAACCCCTAAACCCTCAACCCTAAACCTAGACCCTAAACCCTCCCGCCGTCAGTCGGAGGTTTGGGATCTGGTGCCCAGCTAGGAGGTTTGGGCGACTTTGTAGTCCTGCTCTGTAGCGTTTTGGGTTGAGGGTTTAGGGTTTAGGGTTTAAGGTTTAGGGGTTTAGGGTCCGTAGTGTTACTTGGAGGGTCGGGGGACATAGTAAGTAGGTCATAAGTAGACTTATAAGTACCCTAAATAGAATCCTACTTGGGGTCATGATACAAGAATGATTACTGTACTTACTAAGCCCCCCGACCCTCCAAGTGAGGCTTTAGGCTTCGGGGGTTCCGATCCAGTTCTTGATGGCATATTGCACTCGCTTGCAGAAAAATCAGAAGCTACAGATTAAAGTTTAGAGTTTGGGGTTTAGGGGGTTAGGGTCTAGGGCTTAGGGTGTCAGGCGCAATCCGAAACTCAAATTTCAGGCAAACCGCCAGCGTCCTTTTCATTTCAGGTTGTGGGTTTAGGATTTGCACTTCAAAGACTTCTTCCGCGGCAATGCCGTTGAGACATGCGTACCCTTTTGCTACAAGTTCGTCTTCATAAGGATAAGTTGAGATGGAGCTACAGTTACAAGTTCCTCTTCATGAGGATACCTTGAAATGGAAAAGGGCAAGGGTATTGCTGAGCCCTCCATAAGATATTATTCCGATCTACAGTTCGGGGCTGGGGGGTTGAAAGTGTATGGCTTTCGGCTCTAGCCACTCTAGTCATTCTTATCCTAGGATGTCGGATTTCCAGCGAGTCGCTTCGACTTTTTTTCCGAGAAATGGGGATCGGAATCCAAGCAAGAAGGCCTCGGCAGGAACCGAAGTGCTAGGATTTAGAGTCTTCTGGACGCTGCGAAGAGTGGCCATCGGCCGATAGATTGTACTTGGAGGTTCATGGGTAGCTATAAGTAGAGGTTACAAGTAGGACAACCATAGTTATGAGCCATATTAGTCTACTTATTACTGCCCTAAACCCTGAACCCCATAACCCTAATCCCTAAACCCTAAGCCCTAAACCCTAAACCCTAGCCACAAAAGCCTGAAACCTCAAACCCCGAGCCCTAGACCCTAAACGGGAAGCCCAAACTCGCTAGCATGGTGCGCCGGTCCTGGTGTCTCGCCGCCACAGGCAGGCTCTGCCAGCTCGTAAGCTCATGGTACAGCAAAGGCCCTGAGGTGTAGGATGCACGATTATGCTTCGGAAGCAGCTCCGTTACCCTAAACCCTAAACCACTAAACCGTGAAGCACATAAGGTCTGCAACACTCATTCTGTCAGACTCAGAAACCGAAAGCCGTTGGTTCCGCAAAGGGATCTACATCCGAGCTGTGTTTCGCTGGCAGTATCGCTGCCCTTGCGCCTGTTAGAATCATGCTTGGGGTATATAAAAGTAGAACTCTCTCAAGGAACTCTGAGGAACGGTATTGGCAATTATGCTAGGGAATCGTCGGGTACTCCGCGGACGAAGAGAGCGCTCAAACGTGGATCCATGGTTTAGGTGGGGCTGGGGCGCAGCTCGACATTCCCACACCCTCCAAAATCCCGTAATTAAGTAATATACCGTAACATATATTAGGGATCCTATTATGATATAAAGTATCTTCCTTAATTAACGGATTTTGGAAGGACTGGGATCCCAAGTTTCAACACGAGCGCAGAACCGCCCAGAGCTTCGGGCTGCGAAGCTCTGGGATTCTTGCTTCGGACTTTCCCAGAGCCTCCAAAACCCCTTAATTAAGGAATATATCTCAAATTTCTATGGATCCCTAAACTTATTTTAAGGTATATTCCTTAATTTAGGGGGTTTTGGAGGCTCTGGGTTCGGATTCGGATTCAGAACATAGGGTGTATGTATAAGTAGGGTTTAAAATACCCTCACTGGACTGACAAGTAGAGACAGCATACTGTAACTGTAGTCATCCGATGTATAGCCGTACTTACTGATTAATGTCCCATGATCTCCGGAATAGAGACAAGGATGGGGTGTGGCGACTTGGTAGCTTTAAGGCTTTGGGGCCTTAGGCTGTTTGCAGGGTTTTCGGGCCTGCCCAAGGCCTTGGCAAAGGACCTTTGCATCAAAACGGGGCTTGGGGTTTAGGGTTCGGGGCTTCAGGTTTCGGTTTAACTAAGCGGCAAAGCCCAAAAACCGCACGGCCGCAGAATAATCTGGAACCGTAAACCACTGGACTCTGAACCCCAAAGCCTAAAACCCACAACACCGAAACCCCAAACCATAAACGGCCCTAGGCCCTGAAAGCTGCACCCCAAAACACCGAGATTCCTTGTCGATCCCCTCAAGATCCCTGAAAGAACCCACAAGAGCCCCTCAAGGAACCCTTCTAGGAACCGTCAAAATAAAAGAACCGCAAAAACTTAAGCCCTTTATGGTTCCGTTGAACCCTACAAAGAACCCTCCAAAGAACCCTTACAGGAGCCCTAAACCCTACTCCCTTAACCCTAAACCCTAAGCCCCGACACCCTAAACCCTAAACCCTAAGCCCCTACATCCTACACCCTAAACCCTAAGCCCCCACACCCTAAACCCTAAATCCTACACCCTTAAAGGAGCCCTGAACCCTACACCCTGAAACCTCCTCCCCCGCCTGCTCCTGCAGCCGATGACAGAAACTCCAAAATCCCTGAATTAAGGAATATTTAAATCAAATTAGGGTCCCTGTTATAACTTCTGGTATATTCCTTATTCAAGGGATTTTGGAGTTTCTGGGTCCCCCGCCTGCTCCTGCAGCCGATGCGAGCTCAGTCTCGTCCACGTCCATCCAACGAGGCCCATCGGGGGCTCGTTTGGGCGATCAAGAGCTTTGGGGCTGCAGGTCTTCAGGGGTTTAGGGCTTTAGGGGTTTAGGGCTGTCGGGCTTTAGGGGTGTAGGGCTTTAGGAGTTTAGGGTATAGGGTTTAGGGCTTTAGGGGTTGAGGGCCTTAGGGCTGCTGGGCTTTGGGGTTTAGGGCTTTAGGGATTTAGGGCTTTAAGGTTTAGGGTTTAGGGGTTTGGGGCTTTAAGGCTTTAAGGTTTAAGGTGAAATAGCAAGCTTCGTAAGGTTCCCTTGTGCAAAAGGTGGTTTAAGGGGCACGGGCTCCTTCAGGGATTCCGGAGTTCTAAGGGGTTAATTAGTGGGTTTCGGTGTTTTGGGGGTTTGGGGTTTCGGGCTCAGGGCAGGTTATAGTCTAGGAATTGACTGTGGGGCTCGGGGCTAAGAGCCTCGGACTTTTAGGATGGCCTTGGAAGCTTTGTTGACATGGTAAGTCGGGTTTGTAAGGCGCAGGGCCACGGGGATTACATGCAGACTGCATAGAACATGTACCCAGAAACTCCAAAATCCCTTAATTAAGGAATATACCTTAAATCATATTAGGGTCACTATCATAATTTAAGGTATGTTCCTTATTTAAGGGATCTTGGAGTTTCTGGGTCACTAAGCAGCCACGGACATGGAGTTTGCTTTCTGGCTGAGCAGCTCTTTTGGGCTGTGACGCGGCGAAGACCAAACCAACTTGGCATGTTGAGAAACACAAATATATATATATATATATATATATATATATTTATTTATATTTATATTTATATTTATATTTATTTATTTATTCAGTTTACTATGGACAGTTTATACTTATATAATTTGACCGCATAGATTATTTGATTTTACTCACCACCGACCCGTCAAATGACCCCGTCCTGTGCATGTCTGGCCGCACACTGCGCATGCTTACCACGAAAAACAGCATCAGCAGCAGCAGCAGCACCACCACCACCAGCAGCACGGAAGCCCACCACCACCACCGCTGCCTCGCAGCCGCCGCCGCCAGCACCACCACCACCACCACCACAACCACCAGAAGCAGCAACAGAGACGTCATCATCATCACGATCCGCATGATAGGAATCATCAACACCATTCATCAGAAGCATCATCACCATCATCACGGCTGGCCAGGATTGGCATGGAGCTCTTCATCATCATGATCACTATAGCCACCCAACATCACCATCAGCAGCTTAGTATGATTTTCGTAATCATAACTCTCAACATCAACATCGCCAACATGGTTTTCCTCTTCTTCTTTCTCATCGTCACGATCATCATCGCCATCATGCCGCGTCAGTGTCATCAATGTCATCAGCAACCACGACGACCAGACAAAGAAAAATCTTAAGCTTATTCAACTCAATGCGGGTTCCCCCTTTGTGGCTTTATCATCAGAACTGAGCTTAACAGGTAAGAGCTGCTGTCATCAGTGCCGAGTGCATCAACACTAGCATTGTCGCCATCAATGTCTACCATCAGCTCCGCTTCATGTGTCTCCAGCTCTATTCATGTCATGACCGCCGCTGCTCTTCACAAATATCATGCTCAGCATTGGCAGCGATGTCATCACACTGGCAAAAGCATGTCAAAACGGCACGTGCTGAACACGCCATTAACGATAAATGCCTTCCCCCTACGCACTAGACCAGAAACCGTAGGAACCAAACCTTCAAGGAGGTCAGAACGCTATTCGACCAAACCTTCCAAATTTTACCCTAAGCCCCCCAAAAACCTCTGCAAGTTTGAAGCTTCAGAAAACATTGGCTTTACAAAGGAGGCCTGTGACCCAAAACAAAGCTAAGAGAAATCTCAAACATGATCTCTGGGTCTGCTGCAGACATCCGCTCCATGCGCTGCGCCGGCGTCTCCTCGCGCTCGACCATCTCGCGCTGCCATGCCTTCGTGAGTTTAGGGTTCAGGATTTACGGTCACGTAACAGGCGTTCTAAAGACATGGTAGGAGTGTACAACCCGTAAGAGTTAAAGACCACCTACTCAGATGCTCAAAGAGGTAGACTGCAGCAGAATGTGGTTACGGGGTCCTAAAACTCTAAACGCCAAGCCCAAAAACCTCTAAGCTCTAAGCCCACCCAAACCCCTAGATCCAAAAGAACCTAAAGCCAAAATGAAAACCTAAGAAGCCCAAGGCCAACCTCGAAACTGATACCCTAAAACCTAGCACCTAAAACACATTCATCTTGAGGCCCCCATCTTCAAAATCTCAATTAAAGCTTCAGACACCCGGACAATGCCAGTCTGAACCCAAAGAGAGCCCAACGACCCTAGCCAGAAGACCCTGATACCCTCAAACCCTCAACACAAAAACAACTGCACTTTTAAACCCATAGACCCTAGACCCTATACCCCAAACCCATAAGCCCTAAACCCCTAAACCCCTCAACTCCTAAACTCCCAAACCCCTAACCCAAGCTCCAGGATCTGAATCCTTGAATCAACCAACCTAAACCCCTAAACCCCTAACCCCCCTAAAAAACCGACGCCTTCATCTCATCGGACAGCTTGTTGGCCAAGCGGAGGCGTCGCTCCTCGATTCACCAGGGCCCAAACAATACTACTTGGAGGGTCGGGGGACTTAGTAAGTAGGGGCTCCTTTAAAGGGGAGTATAAGGGTTCCTTTAAAGGGCTCTATAGGGGTACTATAGGGTTTAGGGTTTAGGGTTCAGGGACTTAGTAAGTAGGTAATAAGTAGAGTTATAAGTACCCTAAAAGGGATCCTAATTGGGGTTATGGTACTTATAAGTCTCCAAATAATTCGTTACTAAGTCCCCCGACCCTCCAAGTAATGCTTGTATAAACCAACACAAACATAGTCACAACCACAACACTAGTCATAAAAAAAGCATAAAATACTCAAAACAATAATCACAACAAGGGTCATTGGTATAAGCATAATCATAATCATAACAATAGCAATAACAGCAATGATAGTAAAAGTAGTAATGTGTGCTAATGTGTGCTTGTTGGGTGCTGTTGCAGGTCGCTTCAAGCCTGAGCTGGGTTTGGCATGAGGTTTTGTACAGGTGTGATGGATGGCTGCTGGGGGTTTAGGGTTTAGGGTTTGGGGTTGAAGGGTCCTTTAGCAAGGAACCTTTCTATGATTTAGGATAAGGGTTTAGGGATCTTTCTACAATTCGAGATGTCCTGCTTAACAAACGGGCTTGGGGGTCCCTACCCGAAACCATAAACCATGACCCTACACTAATCCCATGACCATTCCCGCAACCCGAAGCCTCACCCCTCAGGACCAAAACAACCCCTGCCATGTGGGATAGATGGGTACGAGAACCCGCGTTAGTGTAACCCCTACAATCCCTCATAGTTCCTATAGAACCTCGTAATACCCTTATCAAGTTGAAACCTCCTACAACGTCCCAATCTCAAGAAACCCTGTATTTAGTCGGGAAACCCGAAACGCTGAACCCAGGACAGTCCCTTATTCCAAGAAGGGCAAAAGGAGGGACCCCTAATAAGGACTCCTAGGTATATAATATAGCTATTATATACCCATTATATAGCCCATTATAGGGTAGGGGTCCCCATTAAGGGTCCCTCCTTTCCCCCTTTGACTTATGGAGTCGTGCCTGCAACTGTTCCTGCTGCTGTGCCTGCAGGGCAGCAACCTGTCCCCAAGAAGTCTCATAGGATGCTATAGCATTTTGGCATCTGCAACTATACTAAGGCCTTTACAAGGGCTCCATCAGGGGGCTATATAAGGGCTCTTCGAAGGTTCTAGCGTTTGGGGATTAGGCTCAGGGCGTTTAGAGTTTAGGGTGCGGGTTTTAGATTTGGGGTTTGGCGGTTTGTCACTCTTCTGAGCATACAACTAGCGTAAAACGCCCCAAACCCCAAAAAATAGTCTACTCCTGACAAGAACAGCTGGAACGCTGCGAAGCACAGACAGTCACCCTGGCTAGTTTAAGCGATACCCAATGGTCCGAAGAGTCAGAACATCCCAATATCTTAGGTACTGCCCCCATACAGTAAGAGTCTATAATAGGGCTACTATTAAGGTCCGAATATATCTATATTATGAATATTATTCAACTATTTCTGGGTGGGGCCCGTACCCAACCAATATCCATGAACATCTTAAAGGGCTCAGGCTACTGGACGATTGCTCTCCGGAACAAGTTTTTACCTAACTAGCACATGGCTCACACGTACAAACTCAAGAACGGAACAGACCAGCGATATAGCAAACTAGCACCCTGATTGCTTCCCAAGGAAAGCCTAATTTCTTCAAAGGATGTTTGGAAGAAAAGCCAGGACTATTACACTTCTAGAAGCTGGTGATTCTTACTGCTAGTGAATGGGCTTAATGCATCTTCGCAAGAAACATGAGCGCTCGTGACAGCAAAAACAGGCCCGTGCAGTATGTTGACGGAAGAGGCAAAGTGGCAGTAAATACCAGCATGCTTGACATGTTGACGACAGTGCCGGATGCTCGTGACAGTGCGTCGTACACCGAAACAAGCAGGTTAACACCAGGGTCCTGGTGCGACCGTCACCAACTGTAAACATAACGAAGATTAACATACGAACGATCAAACATGCTAGCAAACGAAAACGAAAGACCAAACCAACGAAGAAATGACAAAACAAATAGACTAGCTATGTGTCGAACTAACTTAGTGACTTTGTAACTAGCAACTACAGATGCAAATACAACAATGACGACAGCTACAGGTACAGCTACAACTACAGCTGCAACTACAACTCCAGCAGCAGCAACAGCAACAACAACTGATCAAATCCATCACAGCTACATACAACCTTCAAGAACCCCTAGAGAAGCCATGGTAGAAACTCTGAAAGAAACCAGATCAGGGACCTTACACTGTACACGTTGCACCAAAAAACTGAGCTCGAGAATCTGAATTCTGAAAACTCTTTCCCCTAAATCGGGGAAAACCAGGCAAGCTCTCAGCAAAATCG